CAATCCGTAAGTTATTTCGTCTGTTTCTATCCTCAATGTCTACGTTTTTTGATTTGAGTTCAGTGTTATCTGAAATGATTTTTCCTTTTATTTTTTTTACATTAGCTATTTCTTCGGCTACCTTTGCGATTTTATTATCAACACCCTTTACTTTGACTTCCCATTCATCACCAATAAAGTTCATGCTTCCTTTAATTTCACAAAGTTCCTTTTTTACATCATAAACATCTTTTTGAAAAAAAGCCATAATTGTTTCTTTTTGTACGTGCATTATTTCTCTCATCATTGTTATAGATACATATTCTTCGTGTTTAGTCATTTTTATTTTAATTAATTTTTTAGAAATAGATTAAAATAAGTAACTGTTTTGTAAATATATAAAACGTTTAAACGCAAGAAAAGCACGTCCGATCGCTGTATCGACCGAAACCTACCCAGACAGCAAGCTTACATTGGCCCAAAGTAAGTTTTAACATTGGCAATTTATTCCGTTTCTTTCAATTCTGCAAATCTGTTTTTTGCAAATATCGTACTATATTGGGCCAACATTTAGCCAATGTTTTTTTTTCGGCGTAATATTGCAGTTCTACAAATCGGTTTTTTGCAATTATCGTACTACGTTGGGCCAATATTTGGCCAATGTAGTTTAGACTTAATATTTTGCCATAAAAATCTGTTTTTACATTTATACTAGGGTTCATTATCGAAATGGCAATTTTCGAAAATTTTCGATTAAAACGTTATCGAAATACTTCTTTTTTTTCGAAATCTAAAAAAACTTTCGAAAATAATCGAACTAGCCATACTAATTTCGAAAAAAAAAAGTAATTTAGAAATGTGAAATTAATTTCAAAAGAAAAAGGTGGATTTCGAAATAGGAAATTTATTTCGAAAGGAAAAAAAGAATTTCGAAATATGAAATTAATTTCAAGAAAAAAAGTGTATTTCGAAAAGTGAAATTAATTTCGAAAGAAAAAAATGAATTTTGAAAAGTGAAATTAATTTCGAAAGAAAAAAAAGAATTTCGAAGTGTGCAATTAATTTCGAAAAAAACCAAAAGATATTTGATAAGCTAAATTAATTTCGAAAATGAAATTATATTTCGAAAAGTTTAATTTATTTCGGAAAAAAATTTTTTTTTAGAAAGTCAAATTTATTCCAAAAAAAATAACGTTCAATTAACGCTATAAATTTTAAAAGCATAACTTATAAATGCAATTTTAATACCTTAAGTTTTATTTGCGTAATAATACTAAATAACCGGGGGCCTAATTAATTTACCATGGGTATCGGCAGGTAAACCTTTTATTATATATATATATATATATATATATATATATATATATATATATATATATATATATATATATATATATATATATATATATATATATATATATATATATATATATATATATATATACTATATATATATATATATATATATATATATATATATATATATATATATATATATATATATATATATATATATATATATATATATATATATATATATATATATGTTTCGCAAAAGAATACTATTTTGGTAAATTTATTTCGGCGCCAGCATGTTTAGTATGTAATGAATCTGTTTTAGAGAGCAAAGAATATAATTTAATGAGGCACCATGATTCATAACATTTAAAAAACTTAACCAGTTTTTTATTTTTTTTTTTTTAATTGTTATCTTTTTCTTTGCCGTATAATAAAATTTACAATGAGGAAGGCCCCTATTTATACAACAAAATAATACCTCAAAATATAGAACTTACTAAACTGGATAATCTTATTGCTCTGAAGAAAAAACTAAAAGATCTCATAATTAACAAAACCAATTTTATCGATATGTATTAAATATAAAAGAACAATTTAAAATAAATAAAGAAATAAAAAAGAAATAAAAACTAAATTAAAATAAATATATAATACATATAGTTAGCAACTATACATAGTAAAATATTACTGAACAGATGACTTCATGTTTAGAAGAATTTTATCTTTAATAATGTTTTTTAAAAAACTTTTCCATATAAATGGTCCACTGTATTGAATTTGAAATGAATTGAGTTTTAAATAAGATCTTGGAATAACAAAATAATCAGTTAGGTATTAATGAGATATTTCTGCAAAGTAAGAGTGAAATATATAAGGAGATAACGCATGTTTTGATTTAAACGTAAAAAGCATAACTTGGTATATATTATGTTTATAAACATTAAGCACATTAAGTTTCTTTAAAAGAGATTTATCATTAACAGTTCTGTTAACGCTAAGTATAATCCTGCATGCATGTTTTTGTTTGTTATAAATATTTTTAAGCTTCCCATAATTGGTACTTTCCCATGCAAGATTACAATAGGAAAGATAACTATGAATAGGGGAAGTTGGGGTACAGTGGATCGAGGGGTATTGTGAATAAGAAGCATTTTCTCAAAGATTATGATTTTGTTCATCACGGTGATGTAATCAGTTTATGTGCGCATATATAACCCACCTTTATTTATAGGTGTTATCACATAATTTTTGACTCGGTTTTTGGTAGGTAATCTATGTTTTTAGCTAATTAAAGTAAATGTTCTTACCATCTTTATGTTTGTTGTGGAGATCATGGTTAAAATCATTTTGCTTTTCCTTTAATAACACTCATGTCTCAAGAAATTAAACTTGAACCTTATTTTTTAAGGTTTAAGTTTAATTTCTGTTTTAAGATTTAATGAATCGGGGTACCATGAATCGGTTGATTTACTGTGATAAAAATGTTTATAAAAATTAAAATGTTTATAAAAATTAAAAAATCACTTTTAAAAATTTCTTTTGTTGTTGGTTAAATAAGTTTTATTAGGTAAACTTTTTTTTTGTGATTTTAGATAGTTGCATAAGTTTTGTTATCAATAAAATTTATTCTTTATTATTTCAATCGGAAAAATTTTAAATTATTTAATTTTAATTACCAAAAGTGCGCCAAAAGTATAGTGTACAATGTATTTACACCCTCATCCTCAAAATTATTCGGCTACGCCCCCATTAACTACCACTAAATTGCAGGTGTGTTAATTGATTCACTGTACCCCAGTACTAGGGTACAGTGAATCACTTAACACAACTCACTTTAAACCTTTCTGTGAGCTGTTAGATAATGAATATTTAGGTTTTAGTGATTTCTTATCATGAAGGACATATTTCTCAATCCTTTAGCCTTGACAAAGATAAAATACATATTTTAACTTTCACTCAAATTAAAAGTAGCAGAAGGCTAAATTTCTGCTCTAGAGACAAAAAAGGAAGACAGCGAAAACGACCAGTCAAAATAAAGATTAAAGAGACAAAAAATTGTGTATATCTTGGTGTAGATGATTTATCCTCATTTTCGTATAAAACAAAAAATATTATTAAACTTTGTTTATTTAATTTATAACACATACAATACAGCTAATAAGAAAAAATAAATAAAAAAATTATTAAGATAATAAATAAATAAATTATCAAGTACTACAAGAAATGTCATTAAAACTATTAAACTTTGGGATTTACCTGTAACTCCAAACTCTTTACAGAAGTTTAATGTTTGCTCTGAGAAGTTGAATGAACAAATTTATTAAATGGTAAGTGTCTAATGATTGAAAATCTTTATTCATAGCTTTAACTTTTACAATTTTAAAAACTTTTTCATATATTACGGTCAAAAAGTCAGAGTGTTAATTAACATTTTAGCATGTAATAATCAAAATATCAAAGCTTACACCACAGGCTTGGTCAGGAAGCAGGAGCGATCGCTTTCGACAGAAAATATATTTAGTTGCGAAAAACTAGCCAGGTTTTTTTAGTTGTTTTGAGAACATTTAAGTTTATGAACGTAACAAAAAATTTTGTTGGATTTCAAAGTTGGTGTCACCAACTTTGAAAACCATTTGAAATCAAATGTTGAAAAAAACAACAGTATTTGTATTTATATCAGTTTACAGTTTTAACAGTTGCTGGTGATTCATTATTATTCATTATATAAACGTTTATTTAAATTAATCTAATAGACGAAGGTAATACAATATTTTTATAGATGATATTATTTTTAAAAATAGTGTTATTAAAATTCAGAACTAAAATATGTAAAAAAAATTATTTACAAACATTGGACAAGGTCCGTACTGTACCTTGAAAATCTGGAAAATTTGTTAATATTGGCTAAAGTCGTGAAAAACCTGGAAAAGTCAGTAAATTATTTTTTTCTTTAGATAGTCATGAAAAAATCAGTAATTCTAGTTAAGAAGTTACTCGTTTCACAAATGAACGCTGTATTTTGAAAACGTGATTCACACTTTTTTTAAAAGTGAGGTTATTTGAAAAGAATATTTTCAAAAAAATATTATTTTTAAATAACCTCACTTAAAATAAAAGAATATTAAGATAAAATAAAGATTTTTTTAGATAAAATAAAGATTATTTTAGATAAAATAAAGATTTTTTTAGAGAAAAGAAACAATTTTTAGATAAAATAAAAGTAAAATTTTTTACAGGAGAAATATTTTTCACTCTCTTGTAAAATTTTAATTTTTGTGACTTGTCACATTTTCAAAATACAACGCTCAATTAAGCTATTATGTTTTTTTTGGTGCTACCCATTTATTTTTTCTGAAACTTATGTTTTTCTTAGTGTTCATTCTTAGTCGTCATTACAGTACAACTTGGTAAACTACAAAACACATCAAATTCAGTTATAAAAATTTGAGTAACAAAGGTATGCTAATTATTGTATTGTCTGAAAGAGTGTCATTGCTATTAAAAGCAGTGAAGAATTCAAGAACTCTAGAATAAAAGAAAATACGTAAGTAAATGGTAAATATTTTTTTATAATTTTTTTATGCATTTTGTATGATATCTTAGTACAATTTATATACTTTAAATAAAATACTCTTTGAAGATTTTTTCTAAATTACATTTTATATCAATTTAAGTCTAAACAAAAGTTACTTTAATTATTGCTAGGTTGTGTATTTTTGCATGTCAATTATTTGGCACAAATCGGAGTTAAAGACAAAGGAGATTGTATATTTTATTTGCTAAGAATAGTTTTTTAAAATGGCCTAGTTGTAAAATTAAACTATGCAGGGAGAGGACAAAAAATTGGAATAGAAAAAATGTTGATTGCATATGCTGCTATTGGTAAGTGGTTTAGAAAAGTTTATTTTTTCGGTTTCAATTTTGCATTACAGAATTACTTTCAATTTGTTATGTTTCTTTGGTGCATAATTAAACAAACAACTATTTTTTTTTTTTGCAGAAACTGTGAAGTCAAATAAGCATGGCTTATGCAGACATGTAATAGAGATAGAGGAAGAAAAAATAATAATCGTGTGTACCAAATATCATAAGCTAAACACTATTCAATAACAAGTACCGTAGAACGGGGTGACTTTGTTAGGATTTTGAGCATTTTTGCAAAATAAATCTGGTTCATTACAATTTTTTCTGATTTTTTTTTTCCCGTTATAACATTATACCTTTCCTTTATATAATTCCATTAAATATTTTTAATTTTTTTTGTCTTAATATATATATTTTTAATCCAAAATGTTATCAATCTCACCCCGTCGTTTGGGGTGACTTTGATAGTCTATTATTTCTTAATGGCTTATTGATTTAACCCTCTTTACAGTGTCGCTAATACTTTCTTTTTGACTTTTACTAAATTAGAACACAACATATTAATAAACTTATAAGATTTACTGGTAAAATTATAAATTTAGACAACAAGTTTGGTTATCGAATATATCTACAGAATGGACAAAGAAAAAACAAAAATAAATTTGATGTTAATATGCTAAACACAGAAAAATAATATATCAATAACATTGTTATAGTAATTAGCAGTTATAAAATAACACTAACAAAAAAATAATACTAATTGCGTATAAATATTAAGTACTGATTTACCCTGATTTACACTGATTTTTCTGCAAATGTGATTGAGAGTAACCAAAAACGAGTGGTATATTCCAGTGGTATTATAACTGGAAAATACCACTTGAACATCTAAGTATAGATTTTTAGAAAAAAAAATTTCAAAAAAATTAAAATCACAAGATTTTTTGGCATTTTTTGGTACGTGTAAAAATCGCTATTTTTTTGTTATTTTGTTATATTATGTTTTTGTTATGTTATTCCTAACACATTTGCACAATTTAGAATCACTTCACAATCATTAAAATTTCAAAAATATTAGCAGAATATAATTATGTACAAGAATAAAAAAAAAAAAATAGTCTCTAATTGTGCAATTTCACATTCAAATCATTATTTTTGTAACTAACAGACGAAATTATCAAAGTCACCCCGCGTATCAAAGTCACCCCGTTCTACGGTAGCTCAGCCAATATCGAAACTACTCTATAAATTTTATAGTGAATTTTTTTATTTAAAACTCAATGTGTCAGTTTTTGGTTTAAGTTTGGTGTTAGCAATATGTATAATTAACCGAGAAATTATGTTAAATAAATAAATTTTTATACTTGTATCATACATTCTTTTTTTTCTATATAAATTTTTATTGAAAATTTCACAGTTTCTGCAAAAAAAAATAGCGATGCAAATCATCTTATTTGTAACAACGATCTAATGCTGCATAAAACGTTAGGCCGATATATAACATACAATATTGGGCCAATGTTGTATACAACGTTAGGCCAATTTTGTATACAACGTTGGGTCAATGTTGTATACAACGTTGGGCCAATGTTGCGTAAACGTTGTGTACAACATTGGGCCAATACCTAACTAATGATCAAACCTGCATTGGGCCAACATCGACTTTCAACGTTGGGCCAATGTAAGCTTGCTGTCTGGGTAACGATCTATATATATATATATATATATATATATATATATATATATATATATATATATATATATATATATATATATATATATATATATATATATATATATATATATATATATATATATATATTAAGGTGTCCCAAAAAACAACGTTGTTGAAAATAATCTGCTCTCACCCCCTAAATGTGTTCTATCTAATACAAAAACACTAGGTTTAAATTTTTTTTGAATAAAAAATATTTTAAGGGGTCCCTTAAGACCCTCGAATATTTAATGGGTCCCTAATATTTTCAAAAAAAAATAACAATTTTGTTTCGAAATGAATATTATTTTTAAAATTTTTATATAATTTCGCTTCATTTGAGTACCAGGTTGACATATTTTTGAAAAACTTTTTTTTCGAAAATATTCGGGAGCCATTAAATATTCGAGGGTCTTGAGGGACTCCTTAAAATATTTTTTATTCAAAAAAAATTTAAACCTAGTGTTTTTGCATTAGATAGAACACATTTAGGGGGTGAGAGCAGATTATTTTCAAAAATGTTGTTTTTTGGGACACCCTAATATATATATATATATATATATATTTATATATATATATATATATATATATATATATATATATATATATATATATATATATATATATATATATATATATATATATATATATATATATATATATATATATATATATATATATATATTTATATCCAAAAATATCTAAAAAAAGTCCAAAAACATCATTTTGAGATAGATAAATAAAATAAATTTGAGATAAATAAAAAATCTTGATAACTCATTATTATTTGATTTATTAAAACTATGTGGTATACAAATGAATGAGAATTTAAAATACTTAATAAAAGTATATATATATATATATATATATATATATATATATATATATATATATATATATATATATATATATATATATATGCATATATATATGCATATATACATATATATATATATATATATATATATATATATATATATATATATATATATATATATATATAAATATGTATACGTATTAGTGCTTGCATATATCCTCGCTCGATGAATTAAACTAAATTAAAACGATTTAAATTAAAACAGAGCTGTATTTATATATATTATTTATAAATAAAGCTGCATTTTTTTCACAACTATTAGTTTCATGCTAAATGTAATCATCAGCTGGTGATGATTGCATTTGGTGATGATTGCATTTAGCATGAAACTAATAGTTGTGAAAAATATGCAGTTTTATTTATAAATATTATATATATATATATATATATATATATATATATATATATATATATATATATATATATATATATATATATATATATATATATATATATATATATATATATATATATATGTATATATATATATAAACACACACACGCACACAATTACTATGTTTCATAAAAACACTTTTAAGTTTGACATTTTTGTTGGTGTTGTATATGCCTTTATGTATTTTTTTATTATTTATAGTGTACCACAAAGAGCACCTAAATCAGAATAAATAAGTTGTTTCAAGACTTATTCATTACTATGAACAACTCAACTACAAGATCAGAAATAGATATAGAATCATTCCTAATGACATTTAATTAGGTATTACTTTTATTAGGTATTTTAAGTATCCTCCAATAGGTTTTTTGACTGAGAGTGCTATTAAAGCCAGAAACAAAGAAAGAAAAATTGCACGAGTTGGTTATGCACACTTTACTTTTTTGGCAGAAAACACTAGGGATACAGTTAATTATTTGTTTTTGACATTTGATATGTACCTCTATTGAGTGTTTTTTGAACGTTATGCTATTGTTAGTAGTTTAGACTTTTTTTGTTATTTTTTTTTGGTAAAGAAATCTTAATATAGTTTATAATAACATTTCAAAGTTTTTTGTTGTTTTTTGTTTTTAAAAAATATTTAAGAAATAATTTAATAAATTTTAACTAGTAATTAACTAATCTAGTAAGATCTATATCATTAACTAAAATGTTATACTGATAAGCTGTTCTGCGTTGAATTTTTAAAAATACGGCTATTTTCAAACTTATTAAAAACATATATTAGAACGTTGAGAAACTTTGTAAGAAACTAAAAAACAAAAAATCAGATGATCGCAGATTTGTTAATTAGTTTATGCTTAATGATATTGTTTATAACTTCTAAAAGAAATTAGTAAAATTCTATAAAATATCGGCGCCTACTGTTTTTTGAATTAAAACATCCGGACATATGTAATTTTCCGGATAAGTCATAAATTAGTCCGGGTAATTTTTTGGAAATAATACGGCTGGGTAGAAACGGCGAGGAAGCAACTTTAATATATAAGCATAATATATAAGCAGCCGTGGCGCAGTAGTAGCGCACTTGCCTCAGAAACGTAAGATCCGTGGTTCAAACCCCACCTCTGGGCAAGTTTTGCGACATCGGTTGGGAAGGAGGCGTAAACTTCCTATTAAACGCTCTTCCGCGGTGTTCTGTGATAAGACCGTAAAGACTTCTCGTGGCACCTTATCAATCTTTACCCTACAACAATAAGAAAGGTGTTACAAGATCTGCGAAAATATTAACATGATTTGATTTTGGAGGTAACAAAAGAGGAGCAAATTCACATTTGCGAAATCTTCTGGAAACTTGAAAGTTATAAACGAAAAAAAGACTTCATCATTGATAGTATTTTAAATAATCGTAAGGTGCAAATAAAGAATGGAAAAATTCTAAATATTAATTACAGTCAAACATATTTATTCTTATTTACATTTGTCGTATTTTACAAAAACAAATAAACAAGGCTTTTGAAAGAAGGTTATAATGATTTTATCATCAGAACTAGGGATGGCAAAAATCTTAGATATTTTCAATCCCGGGTTTTCGGGATTGAGAATTTTGTCCCCAGGAAATCCCGGGATTGAATAGAAAAAAACGCAAACGCAATTGAATACTTTTTAAGCACTCATCAAACACTTAAAAATGATTAATTTAATGATATAACTAAAATATTTTTTTATTTTTTTTAACATTGATGAAGCTCTAAAATCTAAAGTTGAATCATGTTTTAACTAAATTTTGTATTAAAACTTATTTAAGACTTTTAAAAATTAATAAACTTAAGTATTATGAATTATAAAACAATGCCTTAAAATGGCAACACAATATAAATAATAAAAATTAAAAAATAATATAAATATAAATATGCATGACGTTAAAAAAATATTTTAAATTAAAATGAATGGATATAAAACTGGAATTAAAATTGCGCAAACTTTTGGAAGCAGAAAATTCAAAATTAAATTAATGTATACTCTTGCTCTTTTTACCAGCAAGCGCTTTTTTCAAATTCTATTTGTTTTTATAATATACTAGTTTCAATGTTATAATATAAAATATATATAGTATAATATCAAAACTAGTATATTATAAATAATAACAAAAATATAAGCGCTTGGTGGTGGAAAGAGTAAAAGTTTTTAATAAAAGTTATACATTAATTTTATTTTCTTATATATTTTTAATTTTAATTATATATACATATATATATATATATATAATATATATATATATATATATATATATATATATATATATACACATATATATATATACATATATATATATATATATATATATATATATATATATATATATATATATATATATATATATACACACGTATATATATATATATACATGTATATATATATACATATATATAAACATATATACATCTTGCAGACAAGCAATAATGTTTTGAATTATTTTTTTTTAGTAAAATACAGAAAAAAAGAGTTTCAAAAGAAAAACATTGCAAAGAGAATAAATAATTACACAACCAAATAGCTACTATACCAAAGACGATATAAAAATTACTAAACTACAATTATAAGCTAAAACTTTATTAACTTTTCCTTTTTTTTTATTTCTTAAAATAAAAACGTTTCTTCAAATATAAACATGCTGTTGCAAAGGCAACTCGCAGAAGACTATTAAGTCTTATCATCGAGTACCTATTTAAATAGAATCTTAAATAAAATCTTTTATCTTTAAATCTTTAACAAAAACTTTAAATAAAACCTAGTTAATTTTTATATATAGTCAAAAGTGGTTAAACAATATACAGTCAGTGATACACATAAATATTTTAGTATAAACTTTGTTGTTAAGTTTAATACATGTCGATGTAATTGTTGATATTAAGTATGTAAATATGTTGGATTAAGTATTGATATTAAGGTGTTTTAATTTTTTTTCAAGGTCGCAGGATTATTTAAAGCTTTGAGTCCAATATTTTCGGACTTTGTTATACAGGTACGAACCTCGATAGGAAATTGAGGATTGCGAAAATTTTGTTTTTTTAAAGACAATGTGAAGTTGCCTGTTGCTCTTGTAAGTAATCTTGATGCATGTTATTGACTTATATAAGATGTTCAATTGGAAATTCTGTGTACTTGCCCACAAAATATTAGCGTACGTAAGATAACATTGGATGTAAGAAAAATCAAATACTACAGAAATGGTTTGCCAACAGTTTTTTTGTTCCACATTATGTACTTCTGACATTGGAATGTTAGAAGTACATAATGTGGCAAAAATTCTTCAAATAGAAAAAAAAAATGACATAAATTTTGTAAAAAACCACATGAAGCAGTAACCAACAATGGAAGCGGTAACACAGGATTCCATCTATGCCCTAATATATAAATAGTTGCCTATTTATTAAAATAATTTACATGCAGCATTAAAAGTATCATCAAAAACGTCAAAGGAGAACTGTAAACCAAATGCATTTTATTTCCTTTCTAGCATTATCCGAAGGGATAATGCTGGAAAGGAAGTAAAACAACACAAAAACAATTTTTTTTTAAATGTTATTTATCATGTTTAAGATAAAAAAAAAATAGAATGTCACATTTAAATTTTTTTTTTTGAAACTCCTGTCTAGACAAAAAGTTTTCTCTTTCCGATCCCTTAGAACAGGCAGCCAATTTTGAATTTGATCTCACATCTGTCACAGATTGGGGCTTGCAGTGGCTTGTGAATTTTAACTTCAGCAACTCGGTTGTTTACTACAAACAACTATCGCAATACTGTCCTGCATTGATGAATGGCAACCCTCTCACTGAATCCTCTTCTTTACGCCTTCTTGGAATATTGTTCATTATAATGAACGATAATCCAAGAAGGCATAAAGAAGAAGATTCAGTGAGAGGTCAGTATACTGACCTTTCATGGAAACTATATATACAATCGATTGCTAAGTTAGCATTTCCTAAGATTGCTTCTCATTATCGTGCTCGCCATTAACTTACTCATGATTCCATTTTCTTCAATCTCATTCGTTACTGCATGGAATACTATTGTCATATTTAGGCTGGTTCTGTTTTTTATCTAGTTAATCTACGAAAAAAACACACAAACTCCTATTACTAGTGAATTAGTTTGATTCACTTGAGTTTAATTTTTGAGTTTAATAGATAGCCTAATTATAATATAAATAACACAACATATGATACTTAGCGTTTACATTTTTAAAATACAAAAGTATATACAAAGCAACTAAAACTTTAAAACAATAAATAAATAAAAACATTTTTTGCAGCATAGACGCAGCAGATAGTAGCACACTTTAAAAAAAAACTTAATAAATTCAATATTGCCTAAATATGTGTAGCTTTTTTTAAACTTTCATCCTACAAGGACGATTCCTTATCTACCAATACATACAAAGCAGAGGCGTCACCTACCACTTTGTTAGTTTCAAAACTAATTATTTTATTCTCAAGAAATATTTTTCGCCCTTCCACTTTTACAACTTTGCACTCAAACAAAAACGTTGATCCAACCGGCATAGGACTAAAAAAAAAAAACTACAACTCAGTTACAAAACAACTAAACAAATATTTGTTTAGCTATTAAATTTAATAATAAAAAAGCAACAGAAAAATACTAACAAAAATATACAGCCTTCCCACTCCATAAATTTCAAAAACGATAATTTTTTAAAAAAGAGAAATGCTTAATGCTTAAAACAGTTTTCAGTTTCTTCTTATGTTAGTTATCATATACAAGAGCTTTTTGACTACAAAAATCATTAAAGAATGATTAAATAATATTTACAGTCTAAAATATTATAGTATTATAGTAGTTATAAATATTAGTTAAAATTTTAAAGGTCTGTACTAAGATATATTATAATTTTTGTTGAAATCTTTTTTTACTAAAAATAAATAAGATAACATTTTTTAATGAAAAAAAAAATTTGGAATTCAAGACTTAATTTTTAGGATTATATTTTAAGATTTATTTGAAATGAATATTATAAACCATGAATACAACCCAACAGTATTGGGCCAAATATTGGTATTTGGTATTTTCACTTTGGTATTGGGCCAATACCAAAGTGAAAAACATTTTAAGAATTTGAAAGGTAACTTAAGTTCTTTTTTAAATTTACTCGAACTTTTCGTGCATGTTTTTAATGACCTAAACACCAATGCTCCCAAACACAAAGACTCCCAATAAATGCATGTAATTTTAGCCGCAAAGCATTAGGAATTCTTGCGGGACCAAGTAATCATAAAAGTATACAACTCTTAGTTAAATAAATTTTTTTTGCATTATTTTTACCAGAGGGCTTCCCATAAAAAAAACTTTTCTTTTATAAACTAAAATAATTTTAAAACTATTTCATAACATTGCTGTATCTCGGTGTAGTTAAGGCGATATACAAATTATTCAAATTCTTTTATTTGAAATTAGAATGATTAAATCAGCATATTATGTCCAAACAAGAGCTTTAAATGTTATTATTTTTTTTTTGCTTCAGTTTTTTCTTATATTTAAAGAAACTGTCTTTTTTTTTATACAATTTTCAAAACATTTTTACTACCCCTAATAGCGAATCTAAAAAACCCCATTTTAGAGTCTTTAGATCACTTTCGCTCATCGGCGTTAACATGAATTTAGTTGAAATCTTTTTAAAAAGTGCCTCAACCCACTAAAGATCCTAGAAAGAGAGAAAAAAAAAACAATTATAAATCAAGCATGGATACCAGCTACATGTCTTGTTTCGTTGTACCAAATCTCGATTATAAAACTTTATTTAATATGTTTGCATACAGAGCCGTAACCACAATTTTCATATTAAGGGGGGCTCATATTAAATTTTTTTTTCTTTTAGGTACCCATTTTAGGGGCCCAGAGAGCCCCTAAAATGGGTACCTAAAATATATATGTTTTCCCTAATAACTATAGTTTAACAATTTTTTTTTGGGAAGGTCTAGGCCCCTGCCCCCCCCCCTCCCCGGTGGTTATGGCTCTGGCATATAAACAAAGTTTCTGATTAAACTTTCTTCCACATGAAAGGCATGATCAACATGTTCATCATAAAGAAATGTAAAATTGCAATCGTTTTTTATAACTTTAATAATCTGTTGTATAATATTTTTTTAGTTAATAAAAGTTTTAATTGCGTTATAAAAGCAGTTTTCATTTCATGAAGTAAATTTTGTAAAAATAAATCAGTATTAAATTAGTTATTTTCACAAGGTGTCACAATTGAAAAAACTTGTACACATTTGAGAAACTTAAATTTTCTTTATCAAATCATCTGCAATTAATTTCAAAACCTGTGTAATTTACTGTGACACTGAATCAGTTAAAAGATTTTCTAATGCATAAGATTTTAATTTCTTTTTAAATAAATGTTTGGAGTTCGCTTGATGTCTGGAAGTTAGCAATCTCAAAAACCAAAAAATGCTGGATCCGCCCCTGTAGCAACTTGACAATAAAAATTAGTGTCGCCAATTTTACTTGCATGGCTAATATTGATCCTGGATCTTAATGTCTGTCAGTTTTAGCACAAGTCGGACAGCATTAACCTTGGCCAAATTATAAAGGACTTGCAGATTAAGGTGACACAAAATAGGGTCGAAAAATGGAATTTTTCGAAAATCAATAACCGCTTATCCTGTACTACAACATTTAGTTAGCCTAAATACAAAATTTCACTTGTTTTTGTTCGTTGGAAGTGCTACATGTAGTTTTTTAAATATTAAGTTTTAAATATTGAGGCTGAACTTTATGTCATTTTTACGGATTAAAATATGTTTATTAACAAACTTTTGTTTGATTTTAGAAGAAAAAAAATACTATTTATAGTTTCATACAGTTAGCTATTTTTTTACATAATTTTTTCAACTCTAGGCTTCAGCTTTACAAGTTCCTTAAGCGATATAACTTTTCTTATTAGCTTTCTATGTTCACTGACTACCAAAAGAATGTAGTCTCTGATCCTCATTGTGGGAACTGTGAACAAAGTTTTCAATTAAATTAAATATTTTTTTCTGCGAAGTCGTTGGTCACACTAAGATTGCGAACTAACTGAGTGAAATGTGTGTATGAATCTAGCGCTAAGAAATCACTTGAAGTATGCCACTCTCGAACAGACTCGGTGTGACCTGTAAGTATAAAAAAAGCCAACTCTCCTTTGTAATTAAATCCTCTAATTGACTATCACTGGTAACAATAACAGCAGAAGGAGCTTCTATAGAAATTTCTGATAACCCAGGAACTGGAAATATTAAAAGTTTCTTAATGATTAAACGCTTTGCATCTACTTTCATATGAGGATCACCTAACAACTTTAGGAGACAAATATAATAGTGTGGTATTTGTCTCCTAAAGCTATTTTACTACTTTGATATTACCTAATAATGATTCAGCTCTTGTTTTTTTAGGTTCTGTAGGTTTCTCATCTGCGAAATCGAGATCTATATCATTGTTAGGAAAAACGTTATGGTTCCATCGCCTTTTTTCACCAATTTTCTCTTTATTATCATGAATTATTTAATCGCTGCTCCTCTGTGCTCGATTTTTGTATTCTTCTTTCCCCTTGCATCTATCAATCTTCTTCTGAAACTTTGCTTCAAGCTCTGTATCCATTTTAGAAGATATGATCGTATTTCTGTTAGTTTTGTGCAAAAAGTTGTTAAAACACTTATCGTAAGATAAATTTAAATAAAAAAACAAAATTTCTTTAAAAAATGATTTTTTATATTTGGGAAAAATTAGTAGATATAACATTTCAATAGGTTAAATCTTCACAAAAAAATTTAAGCAAAAAATATCTTTGATCATCTAAGAAGGCCAAATCCTCTTGTAAAGCAGAAGTATTACGATGCATTAATTCGTCTTGTACAAACAATTGCTCTACCATATTGTAAAAGTCATTTTTGTGGCAATTGGAAATTTGCTTTTTGATATAAAAGATTTTACTGTTGTACAAAATTTTGTGTTTGCTGTATAGAGATTTAAACTTTTCCACTATACTTCTCAGAAATCAAGTAATTACTGAAACCAGCAGACTTCCAAATATTTACAATTTGTCGGAGTAAACAGTATTTCTCAGTATTTAAAAAACCCGTTTTTCCTTTGCATATAGTATCCTCTCGTGCTCGAGAACATAAAAAGTTTGTTTTAATAGGTTTGAATCGCTTATCTCAAGCTGAAGTTAGGAACAAGTAATATCGAAGAACACTTCTATTCGATGGAAGTTGGTTTGCAGGTAGATAGCTTAAAGACGAGTTAAGCAGGTAATCAGACCTACAAGCCTTATAGCTGATTTCTGTCGTTATCCTCTCTGATTTTCAACATTTTGTACGGATATGTAAATAGTAAAAAAAAAATCAAAGTTTAAAGCAAGATAATTAATTAATTAATAAATCAAAAGTTGCCAAGTGATTAAACGCAAACCATAAAATTTATGCTGCAATTAAACTTATTAAAAAATAACTGAACCTGTCATTTCGAAAAGGGCACAAATCCATTTATCAAAACTTTTCAAAATCAACGAAAACATGATTTTTATTAAAATAATGTCTACACGGCTAAAGAAATTAAACATAAAAGTACATAAATAAAGAATCTATATAACTTATGTAACATTCATTTTTATAATAAAAAAATAAATCATACAGAAAATTTTATTTTAAATTTATTATCTAACTGTTAAAATTTTTGGACTTTTAACAGTTGTCCTTTTCGAAACGACAGGTTAACAGTTGTCCTTTTCGAAACGTGTCCTTTTCGAAATGACAGGTTCAATTGTGAATGACCACAGATGTTTTAGAAACATCTTGAGTTTTTGACACGTTTTAAAAACTTGCTGAATGATGTGAAGATAATAAAATAATCCGAAGAAATAAAAAATGCTTGGAGCCAGGGTTGCCAGGTTTTTTTTCGGGCACAAGCCAAAAATGAAACAAAAATAAACCAGAAATAAACCATACCATAAAAAAAAGAAAAAAATCATAATTTTTTGTTTCAAAGCCTTGTTTATAATTTATATTTTGAAAAAAATGCTTTTTTATCCAAAAATTCATCCTTGAATACTAAAATTTAATTTGTAAGAGAGTGAGGGAGGAGGAGTAGAACGACTTAGTGAATGTTTAATTGGGTTCCAGTCCAGCCTTCAAAGTGGCGTGGGTAAACTAGTTCACTCCCAAACACCTATACTAAATCCAACACTATCAACCTGTAAAGTATATATATACTATTTTGCTTGCATATGGATATAGATTTCTTTTCCAACATCTGCGATAGTTAACTCAATTATTTCAAAGTCCTGGTAAAAAATCTTTCGCCTTATTAAATATGATTTGACTCAAATGACTGCATGCAATACTTAATTTGATATTTTCTTAGTCTAATTTTTATGCAGATGACCTGTGAGAAGACTCAACAAAATAGTTAGAAACGGAACACATAAACAGCCAAGGCAGTAAACATCTATAATGCAGAGGTCTAGGTCTCCGGAAACATCTAAATGGGTTTACAAAGCAGTTTAGAGTTCAGCGGTGTTTTTAGAAACTCATTTTTCTTAAAAGTTTTTAGACTCGCTCTAATGATGCAATGTTAATTAATTTATGATTAATGACAATTTCTGTAATGATTTTCAATTTCTCCACCTTTTGCATCCTTAAGATATAATTGCAGACTTGAAATGGCCTTTTCAACTTGGGAAACAACATTCAATACAGGCAGATTTATCTCAAAAAATGTCATTTTGAATGTAAGAGTTTTCTAACATTTTTGGCAATTAAAGGATAAAAACAACATTTGAATGACATTTACAAGTAAAAGTTTTTAACGTTTTAAGATTTTAATGTAAGCATTTCTTTCATTTATCTTAAACTTGATTGTTCTTCTATAAAACGAAAAAATAGAAAATCTTTCTTTCCCTCAAATTAACTTTTTTTATGAAAAAAAAACTTGATTAAATTGATTTATTATTAAATAAACCAGAGTTAAACCAGATTTTGATAAACATACTAGAACAAACAAAAAAAGACCAAAGACGTTAAAATAAACCAGATTTAAGCCAGATTTTCTAAAATAAACCAAAACAAAAATTTCAGGCCAAACGATAAAAAAACAAACCAGATTTGAGAAATCTGGTATAAAAAAACGCCAGGTGGCAACCCTGCTTGGAGCGTAAAATTTTTAAATTTACATGTAACTCTTCCTGTTCACTAAGAAATCTAAACACTTTTTTGTAGACTCCTTAAGTTTGGTAGAACCGGAAAAGGTAGTGTGGCTTTTTTTTTTTTTTTTTTTCCTGAAATTTTGTGTCACCCTATTGCAGATGCTTCCACAATATTATTTTACCATCAGATAAGATGTCATGTTTTATTAAAATTGTTTCTAACATTTTTATAAGATGTGGTGCATCAAATATTATATAAACTTTTGCACCTTTAGTTGGATGTAAAATTTGTTGATTTAATAATAAATATCCTAAAAATGAGAAAGCTCTAACAATACAGCTCTAATATTCTAGAAAATCTGTTATAATTTTTTCATGGTATTTACTCGCATTTTTAGTTAGACATTATTGGAAGTCCCAGATCCTACTCACTAAAAAAAAAGGTAGAAATTTCTACCTTAGGGTAGGATATGTGGATATACCCTTAGTAAGGTTTAATTTTCTATCTTTTAAGGTAGAAAATTATATTAAAAACAATGATTTGTCATACAATTTTCTACCTATAAGATAAAACTTTCTACCTTAAGGTAGGATATGTACACCTTAATAAGGGTATATCATATATCCTACCTTGAATAGAAATTTCTACCTTTTTTTTTAGTGTGTAGGGTCCCAAAAGATTTTTTAAGAAACATTAAAATAGTGCTTCTAACAGGTAATGAAAAAACTCTTTATAAACATTTTGAAAGCTTGTGTATCGCAATGCGTGATCCTTAAAGCTAAAACTTTATCTTTAACAGTCTAACGTTTTCTTTTTTTAACACAATTATATATACGTAATTGACATTCAAAAAATTGAAAAAAGTTTATAATTGTTGGTACAGCAGTGCTCTTTTACCACCATTATTGGCAAGAGAGTATTGGGAAGAATAAAAATGTTCACTACAAATAGTATAGTTAAAATTAAGTTCTTTACATGATTTCGTATCGAGATCTTGACGACGACAATTACAAACCCAAAGTTTGCATTAATGTCGTCTTGACGACGACAATTACAAACCCAAAGTTTGCATCTAAATAATAGGTTAAACCTAATTAATTTAGTTAATTATTTGCATCAAATTATGTATAAATATTTTATACTTCATAACATTTAAATTAAATCAGTATTTTCAAGGCGTCTTTAAATTTTTAATGTACGAGTTATTTAATAAACTCGATTTGATTAATAATTACGTACCTATCTTTATCATTTGGAAATCTAAAAAAAGATATTATTTCCAACATTCTTTCCACGCTTGTTTACACAACTGATGGCTGAACAAATGGTTGGAATATTTAATATTATGAGTGTTAAGAAAAAAAGTAACTTAGTTCTTAAAAAGCAAAATCCAAAAATATTATGATATATAACATATTTAGTAGACAACAGCAAATTTATGTTGTTTATAATATGGTCCCGCAAGACCCAATGTACGGCCAATTAAACCATAACCCAATGTACGGCCATTTAAACATAAATAAATGGATTTTTAGCCGAGTTGACAGGTATTGCTTAATACTAAAGTATTTTAAATTGCAACACTTTAAGTAAGAATTGAAAAAATCGCAATTTTAAATGAAAATGAAAAAATGGCAATAAAATTAATGAATTTTTTGATTTATCACAAAACAATTTAAAAAATTTCAAAACAATTTTTGTTGTTGTTAACTTTAAAAAATAAAATTGCTTTAACCCTATGCAACCTTACACCATTATTCAACACCATTTTATGTGTTGTTTCTTTTTGTGTTCTAAGTCATTGAGTTTTTATATATCATTGGTACAATAACATCTGGCCATAAATATTAATGCCCTGAAAAAGCACTCCAAATGATGAAAGTATTCTAATAAACCAAACAGTATAAAAAAATCAGTCAAAATTTTATCTTATTATTATCTCAACAAAGGTCTTTATTTAAGTATGAACTTAATAAAAAAACACATTAAAATGCATTCAGAGCATATCAAAAACAGTGTAAAGCAACTGCTGAAAAGACTTTATATTTGTCCTACCATTTTAAACTTATTGAAATCTTAGTGAAATATAAATACATAAAGATGATGAAATTGATCTATCTAACATAGAAACTTTAAAAACAAACAAACAAAAACAAACAAAAACAAAAAAATAAGATACCTTTTGTAATTGATATTAAGACTAGCAGTTACACATGGTCCAAAACACCTTACAGCTACAACACCAGTTATTTCATCATGATGAGTTGCAATAAGACCTCCATGAACTATTCTTATAAAAAAGAAAAAGAATTTTTTTTTCTTCAACTTAAAAAAGGTTTATAATGAATAATATATAAACATTAAATGCATAATACTAAATTTTATTATTCAAAACACTTTAAACAAATTAAATAAAAAAACTTTGAAAATATTCAATAAATATAATAAAAACACGAATAAGTATAATATATTCAATAAATACCCTGATCCATTGTTTGACCATGGTCCATAAGTTACAGACCATTTAGCAGCCTGTTCTTTGAAAGAAAAATACATGGATCCGTAAAAGATTTTCTCATTACCAAAGTTAAAGTAAGTTTTTATTTCACCAGTTTGTTTTTTTAATATTAATCTCTCCCAATTGTTACTTTGGGCATACTTCTCTAATAATAAATTACTCTCTTTTGCTTTTTCTGACCAAGTATAATCAGGAATGTCTAACCTTTCCATAATGAAGGATATTATATTTTTTTGACAGAATTCTTTATGTTTAATTCAAAACAAATGCAATACAATATTAAATACTTGTACTATAAAATAAACTACAAGTCATTAAAAAATAGTAAACAATAATTTATATTTTATTTGACACATTTATTAATAAACTTGGACAACTAAATTTTACTAAATTTTCATGTTTTTTATGAAATTGTTGTATATTTTTTTGTGATATTGTTGTGATATTGCATATCATCTTATTGTTGATTTATAAGTTTTCTAAATTAAAAAAAAAATAATAGGCTTGAATAGATTAAGAATCTATTAGGTTTAGCGTTTTTCTGAGAAAAACGTTTTCAAACTAAAGGTGTAAGGGTCATTGGGTTAACTTAAAAACTTACTTTAAAATAATTTATTGAAAATAATTAATTTTCATGCCTAAATATGCAGTAGATATAAACGGATATAGACACTAAATATATTAATTTATATCATTTATATCATATATCCCTACGCAATTACATATTGATTTATATCATAAGTCAAATAGATGCACTTAGAGTTTATTGGACTGTAACAATGAATGAACTATATTTTAAAATTACATAAGTTACTTGGATACTTAGCATTTATACTTATAATATAAAATTTTTTTTTACAAAATACCCACACATACACACATAAACATATACACACACACTTGTACACACATATATAAACAACTATTTTAAAACCATTTAATAAATAGAATATTTGAAAATAAAACAATACTTTCTTTTACAGAAGCACAGGCATAGCAGATACAAGCTTTTTTTGAAGAACTTTTTATCAATTTCAATTTTGTAGCAGGTATTAGCTTTTGAAAAATTTGTTATCAATTTCAATTTCTAAACTCGTGTAGTTTTGTTTTTAACTTTGTTACAAGGATGATTCCTTATCAACCAATACATATAAAGCAGAGGCATCACCTACCAGTTTGTTAGTTTCGAAGTTATTTATTTTACTTTCAAGAAAAATTTTTCGTCCTTCCACTTTTACAACCTTGCACTCAAACAAAAATGTTGATCCAACTGGCATTGGACTAAAACAAAAAAAAATTATTACTAAAAAAAAATAGGAATGCAGTATGCAGTATTCTGTAATGCAGTATGTTTAATAATAAAAAAAAATACAAGAATAACAAAAAAATATATATTAAGCCTTCCCTCGCATAAATTTTAGACATACTTATGTTTTTAAAAAAGTCTTTCATCAAGTTACTTATAATTATGAATATAACTTTAAAACACAGCATATGAAAGATGAAAAAAACTAGAAAACTATTTTATTTAAAATTAAAAAAAAATTTTCATCTAGAATATATAGAGTATAACTTTTGGAATTCTTACGTACAAACATTTTCTTAATTATAAACAGAAAATAAAATGCAAATCTTACAAAACTTGTCAAGAATATGTTTGTAGTGGTTTATGTAGTTTTATATATCTCATTTGTATTCTTGACTTCACATTTATAATTTGTTTTTGTTTAAAATTTTAGCTATAAAAACCTCTTAAACATGCTTTTTAAAATCAGATTTTAAAAATAACAACAACAAAAAATAGTGAAAAATCAAGATTTTAAGAAAGAATTACATTACAATTTTTATTTATTATTTACATTTTTATTTGTTGTATAATTTAAATTTGTCAAAACAATTTTTGTTGGTGTTAATTTTAATTTAAAAAATTGTTTTTTTTTACTACTCTGCCACCTAGTTACCATTATTTTGCACAACATCCCTTTTTTTATGTACGATGTACCGATGGTCCTGAAGTTTTTATATATTCTTGGTACATAAACATCTGCCAGTAAACTTTAAGATCTCAAAAAAGCACTAATTCTTTTGTTCAAGCTGTAAGGTCATTATAACACTCTTACACAAATATGTAAAATTTAGTTTAACAAGTTTCTTGTTGTTGCATTCTAAAAACACTTTTCAATCAAGTACAGTCTTGCTGTTTGATTTTTTTTTTTTTTAAACTTCACAGCTTCAAATATTTTGTGTTCTTATTTTTAAAAATTTTTAAAAGAACAAAAAAGTATATATCAATTGTCACTTTTAAAAAATAATGTAAACCCAATCGATGTTTCATAAAAATAGTGAAATATAAAAATATATGGATAATGAAAGGATATATTTAACAGATAAACATTTATAAATAAAACATATAAGATACCTTTTGTAATTGACATTAAGACTAGCAGTTAGACATGATCCAAAACAATTTTCAGCCAAAATACCAGTTATTGCATCATGATGAGTAGCAATAAGACCTCCGTGAACTATTCTGAATATTAAATTTTATCAAAAATACTTTTTCAAATTAAAATGTTTTAAAACATTATAAATAGTCAATAAATATAATATATATTAAATAAATTTAATATACCCTGCTCCGTTGTTTGACCATGGACCATATGTTACAGACCATTTAGCAGCTTGTTCTTTGACAGAAAAAAACATGGCTCCATAAAATACTTTTTCATTACCAAAATAAAGGTAAGTTCTTATTTTACCAGTCTGTGAATTTAATATATATCTCTCCCAATTATTGCTAAGACTGTACTTTTCTAATTGGGCATTACTTTCTTTTGCCTTTTCTGACCAAGTATAATCAGGAATGTCTAATCTTTCCATAATAGAAGATCTTATAACTTTTTGACAGAGTTCTTTATGTTTAATTTAAAAAATAATAATTATAAAAACTGTAATAAAAAATACTTGTATTTATAAGAAAAAACAAAACCACAAAAATATATATAAAATAAAAGAAACGAATATGTTAGATTTAAAATGTTTATTAATAAAATTCCACAGGTATGTTATAAAAATACTCAATTTTTCTGTTGACATTCTAATTTATAAGTTGTTTTAATAAAACCTAAAATGCTATGCGTGATTTAATAAAATATTATTTGAGAAAAACTCTATATCCTTGTTGTACCTTAAACCTATATACCTTTAGTTAAAAAAATTTCAAAACATTGTTTTTAAAGTTTGAAGTATCGTAAATTTTATTTAACAAAACATTAAACTTTGTGTAGGTGAAAGTTTTAAAAGCTTTTGCGTAAAAGAATAAAAAAGAAACAAATTGCTCAATATAATTTGTACATCTAAGTATTTTGTACATCTAACATATATAGGCCTCTTGTACATCTAATATATATAAGCCTCGGTGGGAAGCGAGAGCTTTAGCTCTCGCTTTCGCCTACACTCCCTTGAAACAGTTTACAAGAGCTATTTATGGCTCTCGCAAAAGTATAATTTTTCTCATAAAAGTATAACTATCATTTTAAACAAAATAAAAAACACAATGTCAATTTGAAAAAATTAATTGCATAATATACTGAAATGCTTTTTTATTTATTCCCGCCAAGGCCTGTATATATATATATATATATATATATATATATATATATATATATATATATATATATATATATATATATATATATATATATATATATATATATATATATATATATATATATATATATATATATATATATATACATATATATATATATATATATATATATATATATATATAGAGTATAACTACTTTAAATTTTTTTTCAAAGGTTAAAATAATCACAATCAAGAATCTTGCAAACTATTTAAAAACATGGTAGAAGAATTTTTTTATTTAGAGGAGATTATTATTAAAAACTCTCTTCTAAAAACAAATGACAACTGACTGAATTTTTTTTGTAAATTTCAGTCATCTGTGCAAAGAACAAATAGTCCCATACTATTAGATAACAATAACCTTGCACCACATTTTACAATGTGAATTACAATACATTTTGTAATTAAATAGCACATTATGGATTATTCATGTAAATAATGCCCTGTAGATACAAATTTAAATTCTTAAAATAAAATAAAAACTGATTTTCTGCTAAGTTACTATGACTTCAATGCAAACAATATTAAATATAGAAAGTTACCTCTTCTGAGGCAGTAAGGCAACTATCAGAGACTTAACAAGGTTTGAATCCATACCATGTACTACTATTTATTGTATAGTTTATTAGGATAGTTAATCCATGACTATATATTTATAAAAATACTTTTTTTGTAAAAAAAAAACAAAAAATGTTAATATATTTATTCACAATGCAAATTATAAACATTGAACTAATCTAAAGCTGCCAAAAGCCCATCTCGTTGTCGGTCTTTTGCTAGTTGTGCTAAAGCCTACAAATAAGAAATCATTTTATATTTAACAAGAAATTTAATAAAATTTACTAAAAACGATTATACAGTACAATTAATAATGATATTATCAATGGTGGGATTCATCTGATTTGCACTGGTCCTCGAAAATGGTCTCAGAAAGGTCTCAGAAAACAAAATTGAAACTACATTTTTTAGTAGGTGCAAACCAGTTCTCAAATCTTTTGAGGATGAGAATCATATATTAAATACTTTAACCCCACAACTAAATATTAATATTACACAAACTGATAATTATTAATATTATAGTAAATACTCCTTCATTTTTAGATATAAGACCCACATTTAAAGCTGGACCCAGATTTTGCTTAATCTAGTAACTAATAAAAATTAAATCACCTTCAAAAATATTAAAGATTTTTATAAGCAATTTATGTTAAATAAAAATTTGAAAGCCTATTTCATACTTTAAGTTTTCCTAGATAGAAAAAGAGATGATAGCTCACTTGAGCAACAACCGAGATAGTACTAATTAAAAAAAAAAGAAAAAAAAAGCAGAATTTAACAGAGGCTCAACCTTGGCTGCTAGAACAGGTCCAACTACATTTAAAATGGATTTTTCAACCTTGTCTAAAGGTTTATGATTTTATATACATACATACACATACAGAGTGGCGTAGGAAGGTTTTTAAATGTTTAAAATAACCAACTTATAAACAACAAGAATATTTCAAATTTTTTACATTCATATGTATGACGAAAAAAATCCTTTTAAAAAAAAATTACTGTGATAGGAAAATGGGAACAAAAAACCCTAAAATCTTAACCCCCTCTTGCCCCAAACATGAGAGCAACAAGTTGATGAAATATTTTTTGTACTATTTTCAACTAGACTTATATTTATCAAGAAATTTTAAATTTCATAGTAAAATATTGTAGTGTTCAAAAGTTATGACCATATAAAGTTTGTAACCCCCTCAAATTGAGGGGGTTACAAACTTTATGTGAGGGGAGGTTAATTGGTTATTTTATTTGATATTTTGGTTATTTCAAACATTTAAAAACCTTCCTACGCCACTGCACACACACACACGCACACACACACACATCTCAGTCAGGTGACCAGCTTTGAGCTTTAATTTAACACAGTCAAGTGAGCAGCTCGCCTAGACAGCTTTGTAAGTGAGCTATCGTTTTAAATATATATATATATATATATTTTATTTTGCTATTGGCGTAAAAATTTAATTAACGCTTTTTAAAACGGAATAAATTTAGTTTACAAACTTATAATAGGTTTTAGTAAAAAAATTACTTTATTCAAATATATAAATGAAAACATGAATATGTTTATAAAAATAAAAAAGTTTAAGTATATTAAATAAAATGTCAAAACTTTTCCCAAAAAATCTATTTAATAAAAAGACCACCGTTATTTGACATTTAAGTTATTTAATTTCATAACAATCTTTTTTATTTAAAATACATCAAAGCTGTTCCAAGTTATTAGAGAAAATGGAAATGTGGAAATCGTTTAAAAGATTTTTATATATTATAAAAAATAAGCTTATATAATTTTTTTCAAAATTGTTTAATAGATGGTATTTTCCATTTTATATTTATAATATAAACATATAAACAGGAAAATAATACTTGCTACGATACAAAGTTTTTACAAAAAACTTTATTTAGAAGTGATTTATGCAATTATATCAAACTCATTCAAAGTTTAATTCAAAAAAATTATGACCATATAAAGTTTAAAGCAAATTTTATATGGTCATAATTTTTGAACGTTGAGAGATAATACTATGAAACTTGAAATTTATTGATGAATGTAAGTTTAGTTGAGAATAGTACAAAAATTATTTCATCAACTTGTTGCTCTCACGATTGGGGCAGGGGGGCAAAAATTTTGGGGCTTTTTTGTTCCCAGCTTCCAACCATCACAATTTTTGCAAATCCTCATTATTTGACATAAGAATAAACATAAATGTTTGGAGTTGGCTCCATGTCTGGAAGTTAGCTATCTCAAAGACCAAAAAATGCCTGATCTGCCCCTGTATATAATGTTACATGATATATATATATATATATATATATATATATATATATATATATATATATATATATATATATATATATATATATATATATATATATATACAAGTGGTCTCGCACCCGCTTAGGGTGTCTAAGCGGGTGCGAGAGATAAAACTTTTTATTTCCACCGTGGCTGAACATTTAGAATACTTACATGGAAAGTCCTAGGTTCATGGATAGCCAATTCCGATAATACTTTACGATTAATTGCAACATTGCTCTAGAAAAAAGTTTTATTAATCATTTTAAAATTAATAATGATTTAATTATAAATAAAATATTATAAAATGTGTTACTTCTAACATTTTTAACTTTTAATTTCTAACACATTTTATTATTACATAACTTTATATTATTAATATATTTATTTTATTATTATTAATATTAATAATATTATTTTACTGTTACATCAACACTCTTATAAATGTACATATACATATATTATACACAATCGCTATAACTGTACAATAAAATAAAATACAAAAAGAAAAAATAATAGTTATTTTAAAAACAATCATTTTATAATACTATTGGATAAATTTGACAATGATAAAGTTTTTTAAGACTTACTAACCTTGTAAATAATAAAACAAAAAGCTTATTGCCAAACTTATAAATAAATAAATTAGGAGACATTTAAAAAATTATTTAATTTTTTTCTTCTTTTTTTTTTTATTCATAAATGTTTATTAATTTTATTTTTAATGGAAAATTTTACATTTATGTGTAAATATTATCTCTAAAAAGCAATTTAAAGAAGTTACTGTTAATTCTTCACAAACATGCAAATAGACATGCAAAAAAATGTGGAGCTTAACATCAACTTTTTTTTTCTCACTACTAAAGTAAAGCGATTAAAGAAAGATTAAAGAAAGTTTAATTGAGTAAATAATAAAGAAAAAGATTAAAGAAAGTTTATTTGAGAAAATAATAAGATTAGTAAAACAAACTTTATCTTTAAATTAACCAAATTAACCAGATAAAAGATGAAACTAAGAAAACTAATCTGATACACAACAAACAAAATAGGGTTTACTATTACTTACTATACTATAGTTAATTAAATAGAGTTGCTAGTGACAACCAAATGTCTTTTGATAATAGTTATCTAATAATATAACTAACATACAAAAATATCATTTAATTTAATGATTAACATACAATCTGATTTGTTTTGATGCTTTCCTGAACATTGATTAAAATATAGATTGCCTAACCATACAAATTGGCAACACAATAGACAGAAATATTTCATCAGCATATAATTTTGATGAAGCTTTTTTAACAACAGAAACAAATTTCTACCAAAAACTTAAAGAAAGATCATGATCTGGACATGTATGCTGCATCAATGTGGAGTGTATGCTGCATCAATGTGGAGTGTATGCTGCATCAATGTAAACTATGTCCTCGTATTCAAGAATTGAATTTAGTTGATTTTTTATATTTTTTAATTTGATTGATTCAAATTGTGTAGTGAGTTTATAGACTATGAGTTACAAGAAGATCTTTTTTGAGCAATTTAAATTTTAAGCAATTGATTCAAGCAATCACAGAGTATGGCACTGGCTACACAATCATTACCACTAGATAGGTTTATTGAGTTCTTATGTGACACCATTGACATCCTTAACGCAATTCATTTATAGCAAAAACACTACCTACATGCTTGAAAAACTGTAAAAAAAAAAAAAAAACATAAACCAAAATGAATGCTTAATTTTAGGAGATTTTGCTAAAAATTATCAACTTGTTGTCCAAGTTGAAGTTCAAAGATATCACTGGAGCGAAAGTCAGTGTTCACTTTTTACAATTGTAATTTATTTTCAAGAGGAAACATCAAACAAAAATCTTGTTACCTTTCAGAAGATTTTAATCATGACAGGATTTGTTAACAAGATCATGACAGGATTTGTTAACAAGATCATGACAGGATTTGTTAACAAGATCATGACAGGATTTGTTAACAAGATCATGACAGGATTTGTTAACAAGATTTAAGAAGATTTAACTATATATATGCATCAAAGAAAATTTACCAGATTGTCTGATACATACAAGAAGAAAATCGACCAGATGTATAATATGATAAATCTGGTCAATTGAGCAGATGTATCACATGAAAATCAACCAGATGTCTTGTATGAAAATCCACTAGATATTTTGCTCCTTGTGCAAGTCTATGACTAAATATGTCTTAAACTAGTTATAAAATAAAACTATATTGAAGTTTAAATTAAAAAAATTGTTTTAAAAATTTATTTTATTTTGCTTGAATTTGAGTGCTTACTTAGATCAAATATTACAGACTCAAATATGAAAATGCAAAAATCTATTTAGGTTCAAAATTTTAGGAAAATCCTCCAAACCATTATCAATATATTATATGTCAAATTTGGTTTGTTGTCTCCTCTTATAACCACAAAAACTCTGAATCAGCAATATTTCAGCTAAAAAATTTTGTAATTATCATTTTTTGTGTGAATGATTTCATATAGAACGACCCTTTTTAAACAAAACAAAATTGTCTTACAAACTTAAATTGAATGCACAAGCATACAAGGAAGCACAAAAAAAAAATTACTTTATCGATAAAATATTCAGTTTTGTTATATCTAATAATTTAAAGTTTAAATTTTAATATTTACAAAAACTTACTCTGCATAGATTTCTTAATAAAATTGAGTATGGTAGAGAATGTTCTCGAACACCAAAATTGATTCTTTGAATCCATAACTATGGAAGATAGATACACAGCTTAAAAAGATAAATAAAAAAAGTAATAAAGCATCATAGTATTTTTGAAAAATTGTACAAAAAGAAAAAACCTTTCTCATATTTCTTTTTTTTAGCTTTCTTCCTTTATATTGATATTGTAGAGCTTTGTGAACGCATCTTACTGCAAGACTATAGCAATTTTTTCTTCTACCACGAAACCCCTGAAGATAAATGCAAAGTATTAGTTTATATAGATATGTAATTTTTAACATTATTTTTACTGGCAAAACTATTTTGAGAAAAGTTTTAAGATCTAAAAATATTTAATTAATTTCAAAATAATTGTTTTTTATATTACCACAAAAACGCAAACTGAATTAAACTAAACCTTTTTTTTTTAAATGCAGAATGTTTGCTTTTATTTTTTTTATTTTTTATATTGTTTTGATTTTTTGATTTTTAATTAATTTTTTTATAGGGAAATACATTGAGGAGTGCTGCACATTGACTGGCAAATAGATAGAACATATGATGAAGTTTTAAAAAGTCAACTTTTTAAGACTTGAATTTAAATAAAAGACAAATTTAGATTAATTTAGATTAGATTAAAGACAAATTTAAGCAGTATATGTAGCCCAAATTCGACTGAAAGATAAATTTGGACTTCTAAACTGAATTTAACTAAAAGCCGTATTTGGATTTTAAAAACATATTTAATTAAAAAAGAAATTTTTTAAAACTTTTATAAGTTTAATAAAATTTTTGTTTTGTTTTTTGCTTTAAATCTTCCAATAAAACCTAACATTTTTGCCATGGAGTACATCAGAAAAGTAATAAACTAGGAAGTTCAAACCTCCTTTCTTACCGATAGTGCGAAATATGCCCAGAGCTTGCTTTGAACCCTAGGTCTCTTTCTTTTAAAGAAAACGCTCTAACTGCGCTTATAAAGCATATTTTATAGCACAGTTAGAGCGCTTGATATAAAACATAATTTTAGTTTATAAAAAATGATTATATTTTGATTGTCAATTTTATAAAGGAAAAAGATCATAAAGAATATGAGATCAAATACTTACTTGTTTTTTACCTTTAGAATTTTAAAAAAGGAACAAATAAGATTTAATAAGTGATGAATAGACTTAGTGCCTAAAAAAGATATTGACTATATCCAATATTGACTATGTAAGACATATTTATTTACAACATGTTTTTTTTTCACTAAATTCATATTCCCAAGGCCGAGTGGGCCACTTTATTTGAGGAAGCTACTTCTTATATTGGTTACTACCCTCTCTAAACTCTTCAACTCCTAAACACTTTTCGGAGTTAAAGACTTTTCAGAGAAAGAGGGTTGTAACCAATTATATTTTAAGCTCTCGGTATATCAATTTCCTAAAAATGAAGAAGAAAAACAAATGTGGATTAAAGAAATTCCAAATGCAAACCTAAAAGTAACTAATGACACCGTAGTTTGTAAGTTGCATTGGTCAATAAATTTTGAAAAACAAATAGTTAGAGGAAATTATTATCCTAAATTTCACCTATCTGTTTTGGCCATGCAAGGTGATATCCATTCTCTAAGGTGGTTGTCCAATTCCCACTTATTTTTCTCCATTACATTTAACAACTTGTGCTTCTTAGTGTTTTCAAAATTTCGCTCAAGATAAAATATCAACTTTTTTAGAAAAAGACAGAGTAACTTTTGCTGAAATGAAAAAAATTTTTTAAGTCATGAAAGAGATTTAGGTGCTCCATTAGTTTTATGATTAATAAATATTTATTTACAATCACAAGTTTATTCAAATGGGGTTCCATGTTTTTTAATTGAGATTAGTGAAGATTTTCTTCACTAATCTCAATTAAAAAACATGGAACCCCATTTGAATAAACTTGTATCACTATGGTGTCAAAAATAAAAATTCAACAATTTCTAAAAAGACAATTTCAAAAATCAACACATTGTCTATATTAGAAGAAGTTTTATGTTATTTGAAGAATTTGATTTCAGGAAGAAAAGAAAATGTAATTCAGGAACATTTAACTATGGGTACACAGTGTGTAGGTAGTAAGATTTATTCTAAGGAGGTTATTAGTAGATCTTTTCAGTATTTTGCTACATCCAGATGTTTGTACAATCAGTTGCGAACATATTACCAATTGCCTTTTGTAAGAACTTTGACAATAATTGGCTTACTGAAAAAACTTATCTAGCCAACTTTGTTTTTATAAATAAGTATGTAAAGTAGCACAATGGGATCATCTTTAAAAACTTTATGAACTTAAATCCAAAACTTTAGTTAAACAATTCAATTTAAATGTTTTAATATTTCTAAAACCAATTGAGAGGCAGTCAGTTTCTACCTGTTTACGGGTATTTTGTGACAAAATTTACCATGTTTTAATTAATCATCCAGGATTGCAGCATATTTTACCAAACATGATATACTTTTGAACTTTTTTTTGATTATATTAAGGGGCCTTTTAAAATGATAGATAATATTAAGGGGCTCGTAATATTAGGATAATATTAAGGGGCCTCTGAAAATTAAGAGACTTAATTATCAGATGGGCCCTATTTAATTCCAGTATTATTTTATTTTATAGAACACATTTAGAAGGTGTGCACAGTCATTTTTAAAAATGTTGTTTTTTGGACAATCCTATATATATATATATATATATATATATATATATATATATATATATATATATATATATATATATATATATATATATATATATATATATATATATATATATATATATATATATATATATATATATATATATATATATATATATATATATATATATATATATATATATACATATATATATATATATATATATATATATATATATATATATATATATATATATATATATATATATATATATATATATATCATATATATATATATATATATATATATATATATATATATATATATATATATATATATATATATATATATATATATATATATATATATATATATATAAGCATATTTTTATAAGCATTTGCTCACTTTTTTTGCTTACCTTAACCCATACGACTTTTTTAGAAAAAGAAAAAAACGAAGAATGATGAATGAAATGATTGCTGCCCCATCCTAAACCCTCAGTCAATGTAGCAACATGCCACTGCGAGTCAGGCTATTTCTCAGTCGATGTATGTACTGAAGCCCCCAGCAGCAGGCTATTTCAGTATGACGTCAGATTGCTTACCTTAGTGCGCAATACTATATATATATATATATATATATATATATATATATATATATATATATATATATATATATATATATATATATATATATATATATATCAGGCCTCAGCAGGAAGCGAGAGCTTTACGTGAGCAATTTACGGCTCTCGGAAAAAGTATAATTTTTCAAATCTAATCAAAGAAATATATCAACGCACTTTTTGTGCGCCAATATTAATGCAAATATTTTAGATTAGATTGAACTAACAAATAAATAAAAAACTATTACACTCTAAATTATATTAATAATATATAAAATTATTTTGACTAATAAAAAATAAAATTATTACACTCTAAATTATTGCATAATAATTATTATTATATGTAATTAATTAAATATTTTATATAATAATTACCTTAATATTTCTTTATAGTAGAACTTTTAATTGTAATAATTCCAATAAGAAAATAAAGATTTTTTTCATAAAAAGTATAAACTTTTATAGCTCTTATCATATTTTTTTATCAAATAAGTAATGTTGTTAATAAATAAATGGATAGTTAATGTAAAAACCCTAAGACAATGCTCATCTAAAGAATTTTTTCACGGCGCAAATATGATATATATTAACACTTTTGTAACATTAACATATTTAGGAGAGCTTTTCTCTGCTCTCGCAATCATTTACTCCAGCCAAGACCTGTATATATGTATGTATTTTTGTGCTTAATGCTGATATTAACATCTTTTAGTTAAAGATATGTTGTAAACTTTTGTGCTTAATAACTGATATTAACATCTTTTAGTTACTGATATTAACATCTTTTAAAATGCAAACGCAAAAGAAAGTTCTGAATTCTTAAAGAAAGGTGGAGGGCCAAGTTAAAGCAATCGAGACCAAAACCAAAATTTTCAAGGCCAAGGTCAACAGTTTAAAGGCCAAGACCTAGGCCAAGGTCTTAATTTTTGGCTTTAAGGCAAGACTGAGGCCAAGGCCAAGCACTAACAAATCTCTCTATATATAGCCCTCAGAATTAGGGTCAACATTCAGCTTAAAAGATTGCAAATTATAAATTAGGAAAACAGGATGAAGGAAGCAAATTCTAAAGAACTTACAGGCCTTGTTATGAGACTTTGTTGCATAAAGGAAAAGCGCAACGTGAATAAAAGTAACTTAACTAAATAAAGATATTTACATCGTTAAAAGTTTAATTGCTTCAGTTGCGTATTTTAAAATACCTCATTGTAATTAAATTTAAAAATACAGAAATTATTGTAAGTCTTTTAAATGAAATATTTTTAAATTAAAGAATATTGTTATAAAAGAAGTTATAAATTAAAATTAAATGTTGATTAAAAAAAATTTTCCTTATTTTAAAATCTTATACTTATTTAAACTTAATTTTTTCCTTAAAACATTTTTTTTATGGTTAGTTTTTTTAATTGAGGGGACACTTGTTTATGGTTGATTTTCTTAAAGGGATTTAAGTGTACTTACTACGCAATTATATTGCGTTTTCCTCTTTTTTTAAAAAAATCTTTGCGCAAAATAAAAATTGCAATTAAATGAAGATTTTTTGGCTTTGTTTTTTTTTATTTCAAAAAAGGAAAAAAAGGAAAACCCAAACAAGAAAGAACTTTTTTGTATTGACCTCATTTATTAACTAGAAAAGTGCATTATTCAAATAAAGTGCAGTATTTGGAACTGGAACTTACCTGAAACTTAACTGAAATTAAAATGAAGTTATATGTAAGGAGAACATTTCAAAGTAACTTGAATTGAATTTATAAATTTTTTTTTACTTTAACACAAATTTTGGAAATTTTATCAGCAAAAAAAACTGTAAAACAAAGTGTTTTGAAATTTTTAAAAGAATTTTATTTAAATTTAATTAAATAAATATTAAAACTATGAATAATAATAAAATTAATTTAAATTTAATAAGATAAATTAAAAATATATTTTAAAAAAAATGGAAAATAAAAAAAATCTCTTTTTTTATCTAATAAAAAAAAATTCCACAAATGTTTTTACAACAATTAATTACAGTTTAATGTTTTCCGCCTAATCTGTTTTATAAGACTGTTTAAAATAAACTTATTTAAAAAAGTTTTTGCTGATGACGCAAGAAATGCTAGTTTTTAAAAAAATTGTCTATTATAGTATTTATAGAAAAGAGAAGCAACATAACGATGTGAAAATGGTTGAAGGTTGGCTGTTCAAGCAGGTCCAACTATGTTTACAATGTATTTCTACATCATGTCTAAAAGAGAAAGGGCGTCTTTTGAAGATCCGCTCCAGATATGGCAACAGTATCCCATACAAGACAGATTTGAGATTTATAGAGATAAAGAATAAAATCTGGAGTACGAGAGTGGCAAGCACAATAAAGAGATGCAACCTTATCAGATGCTAATTTTGCAATTGATTTGTTATATGGTCTCCAAGAAAGATTGAAAGTAAGAATTAATCCTTGAAGACAAAAGCTAGATTCATTGAGTACATTACCGTTAGCTGAAAAAATTGAGTTAAAGTTCAACAGCCACTGAGAACCCCATGCTGTAGCAGAATTGAGATCCTTTTCAAAATAAAATGCCCTCCAACCAATCAGAGAGTTTTGGCTTCTTATCAAGACAAGAATAAATGATGTATTCAACAAGATATGTTAGACATGAGAATTTCTGTAAGATCGTTGATGTAAATTAAAAAAAGATCTATATAAATTGTAATATAAAAATTGTCCAATTGAGGACAATTTTTATATTACGATTGGCAAAGAAGGACCTAAAAATTATGAAGATGTTACCTGATACACCATAAGAAGAGATCGTATGGAGAAGACCAGTATGCCAAACTTTATCAAAGGCTTTATATATATACATATATAAAGCCTTTGATGTGTTTATATATACATACATATATATATATATATATATATATATATATATATATATATATATATATATATATATATATATACATATATACATATATATACCTATATATATATGTGTATATACAATATATATATATATATATATATATATATATATATATATATATATATATATATATATATATTTACTTATATATATGTATATATATATAAATATATATATATATATATATAAATATATATATTTATATATATACACATGTATATATATATATATATATATATATATATATATATATATATACATGTTTTACTATAAAACATAGAAACAAGGTTGACTCTAGGTTAGCCAACCCTTTTTCTGAAGGCTGAATATATATATATACATATATATATATATATATATATATATATATATATATATATATATATATATATATATATATATATATATATATATATATATATATATATATATATATATATATATTATATATATAAATATATATATATATATATAAATATATGTATATATATACACATGTATATATATATATATACATATATATATATATATATATATATATATATATATATATATATATATATATATATATATATATATATATATATATATATATATATATATATGTTTTACTATAAAACATAGAAACGAGGTTGACTCTAGGTTAGCCAACCCTTTTTCTGAAGGCTGAATATATATATACATATATATATATATATATATATATATATATATATATATATATATATATATATATATATATATATATATATATATATATATATTATATATATATATATATATATATATATATATATATATATATATATATATATATATATATATACATATATATATTCATATATTCAGATTTATTTATATGATAAATATTGTAAAACCTTTATAAAATAAGTATATTAAATAAACAATATTATTAGAAAAATAAAATTAAAAATATTAAGTAAAAAAACAATATTGAATAAAACAACATTATTAATTTTAACAGGAACTATGGGATTGAAATAATGGAATTTTTGCATTTCGCAAAGATAACATACCATAAAAAATAACACACAAAAAAAAACAAATCAAAGTACAATAACGTAATTTTTAATCACTTTTGATATTTAAATTACTTTTTTTCTGTATAGTCATAAGATACTTTTACAGTATGTTAAAAAAACTGATATAAAGATTAAGATAATTGATAATAAAATTTCTGTATATCTTCTGTAGGTTTCTGTAAAAAAAATTAAGGTAACTTTAATGAAGAATAAGACATTATACAACAATAATAATGATCTATGCCATACAAACATCAAATTATTTTATTTAAAATAGAATATTAATTTGTCAGATCAGTGTTTCCTGGCATTATATTTAACCTATTTAGCAGCCCAGAACTAAGTTTTCATAATGCAATACTACTATTAGAAGATATTAATCCAAAATTGACAAGCTCCTTCAATGTTTACCCACAATAAAAGTGGCGGTCTTACATCAGTTTTCTTTTTTTAAATAAAAATTGCCTTCACAACAGCTAAGGAGACTAACCTACCCCAATATGAGATCACCCTAATGTCTAGACCAGGATGGATATGTCCAAAAAAATATTAAATTTATCCTGTAGGCTGTAAATGTCATTGTCATAGTTATTATAAATTAGTGTTAATTACTCTAAATTTTTTTTATCTTTTAATCATTTTTTATCTCACATATCAAAAGCACATAAAATTTGGTGTCCTTGTTTGATACGTTTATTCTAAATTTTTATACCTTCACAATGTTTGCAATATATTATTATTCATAGCTACATAAATTTTCATCTTTCTTAAAAAAATATCTCACAAGTGAAAACCTACTACAATCAAAATTGCAGCTAAATTGAAACTTTTCACTAAACTCATAAGTAAATATATATTACAGTTACATTTATAAGTATAGAAATAAATTTATATACATATAAATATAAGCAATATGTTGTATACTTATAAAATAGTAACAATAGAACTAACTTTTAAACTATTAAGATAATTACAATTGGTTACTGAAAAAGCAGAAATATGTAAATAATTTGACTAAAAATAATAACTCAATGAAAGAATTAGGTTGTTAAATGTCAATTGTAAAGCTCAATATGTACTTTGTCTTTTTAAGTTTTGGTAACTATAATAATCCAAACAATCATAGATGCGAAAGACTAAATATTTCAAAATCTAAAAACAATTACACATGGAGTTTTATAACATATCATTAACTAAGTAAATTATTTTGGAGTTCTTACTGAACTCGGTTACGGTTAACAACAGGTAAAAATTACCTTAGCAAGAGCAAATATTTTTGCTTTTTTAATAACCCTCTTAAAGGGTCCAGCTCGAACCATATGCATAAAATTAAGAAACATTTTTATTTATTTAATTCTGACTTTAAAATACAAATTACAAACATCACGCTTTATTTAGGTAATGCTGTTGTTGTCGCGGCGTATTTGCTAAATTTATATCATCAGTGACCTTTCTATGTTCTGCAAACTACTAGTTGTTACTGTGGTTACTAATTGTAATGTTTGTTATTATTGACTGTTATTATTTTTTACATAAATACATATATACCGTTTTTTATTTATAGCGATTGATCGCATTTTTTCTGTTTTTGAGAGTGTGAACATTTATTATTTGGATTTAAAATATATTTTCACCAAAAGAAAAAAACATATATAAAAGTTATGAATCATGTCCGAAGAAGTAGTTAAAAAGGGTCCGATAATAGCTGCTCGTGAAACAGGTTATTTTGTTTTACATGTAATTCAAAATAAGAACTATTTTTCTTAATTGTAGAACGCTTATTTTTTAATGAAAATAAGCGTTCTAAAAATATAAAAAAATCAGTTCTAATTTTTCAAAAATTTTTTATTGTTTTATTAAAACAAATTAACTATATTGGAATAAATGATTAACGGATCTAGAATTTTTTGGTATAGGGAGTAGGGGGATAGTGTCTTACCAAAACTAAAAAAAAAAAAAAAATGTTGATACCGAAAAAAAAAACACACACATACAAAAAAAAAAAAAAACTCTATAAATTTACAAAAAGGCCTATATATATATATATATATATATATATATATATATATATATATATATATAAATATATATATATATATATATATATATATATATATATATATATATATATATATATATATATATGTGTGTGTGTATATATTTGCTGTAAAGTAAGTTATTCTTGTAAAGGTATGTACTTATTATAAATTTATAATTATATATATATATATATATATATATATATATATATATATATATATATATATATATATATATATATATCATATATATATATACATATATATATATATATATATATATATATATATATATATATATATATATATATATATATATATATATATATATATATATATATATATATATATATTTAATTATTTATTTAATTTGCCGTTGATAAATATTACAAAAAAGAAATTACAATAAAAGAAAATCCTGGCCGGAGCAAGAAGAAGACAGGTTGTCTTATCACCGAGCCCCGTCACACAAAAATTTACATGCACAATAAATGATAAAAGACAAAAAGACAGTATAAATACAAAAACAAAAACAAATCAAAAACTTCAGCAATAAAATAATTTGTTGCTAACAATCTTCAAGCAGAATAATTTTAAAAATAAAAAAGTAAAAACGACAAAAAGTCATGAAAGTTATAAAAACACACAAAAAAATGTGTTGTTTAATTGAATATATATATATATATATATATATATATATATATATATATATATATATATATATATATATATATATATATATATATATATATATATATATATATATATATATATATATATATGTAAACATAAGTATTTGGGCTGATTATTTAATATCATCAAAAATATGAACGAAAAAGACAATTTTATTTTCGTTATCTTTTATACTAATGGTTGGAAACCATTTATAATAAAAGCTAAAGAAAGTGTTAAAAATTTAATTTATTTTTAAGTGATTTAGTTTAAACCTTTAAATTGTTTTCAAAAAAGGTATTTGAAATCTAGTATATCGAATTCCATGTTCAGTAAATGCCGTTTTGAACCATCCTTAAAACTTTGCAGAGTGCAGTTTAAAACGAAGTTTTGTTTTTTACTAAAGACTGGAAGAAATTCTTTCCAAACTAAAGGCCCCCGATATTGAATTTGGTACGAACTTAATTTAAGACAGTTTATGGGAACCACAAAGTTATTCACTGAAAATTTAGTCGGATATTTATGGGAGATTTCATTAAAGTAGGATTGAAATGTTACTGGAGAAAACCCAAGTTTGCTTTAAACATAAATATCATTACTTGATGAATATTAAGCTTATAAATATTTAAAGCTCCAAGCTGACGTAAGAGAGGTTCGCATTGTGTTTTTCTATTTGCCCCAAATACTATCCTGCAAGCATGTTTTTGTTTACTATAAATTTTTTTGAGTTTAGTGTGATTAGTGCTACCCCAGGAAATGTTACAGTATGAAAGATAGCTGTGTATAAACAAAAAATATAAATTTTTTAAAGACTCGTTATTAAGAAAAGGTTTCGTTCGGTATAACATGGTAATATTTTTTGAGATCTTACCTTCAATATATTTAATATGAAATTTCCATGACAATTTTTCATCTAAGAGCACTCCCAGAAAGTTTGTAGTCAATTCCCTTTTAATTATTTTATTATTGATTAAAAGATTGGGTAGTTTAAGAGGAATATTCTCGGCTTTACTAGGTTTATGGAATAGGATAAATTTTGTTTTCTCTACATTTAATGATAGTCGGTTAGTTATAAACCACTCGTTGATCTTGTCTAATTCTTCGTTAAATATTTTAAAAAGAACAGTAATATCTTTGTGAGAATAAAACAAATTAGTGTCATCTGCAAATAAGATAGTATTTAATACTTTTGATGATAAATATAAATCATTTATATAAAGTAAGAACAATAATGGTCCCAAAATAGAACCTTGGGGTACTCCACAAGTTATTAAGTTGTTTTTTGAGTCTTTTGATTCTTTAAGTATAAATTGCTTTCTGTTAGTTAGGTATGATTTAAACCAAAGTAAATTTTGATTTTTAACACCATAGTTTTCTAATTTTTTCAAAAGAATTTCATGATTTACTGTGTCGAAAGCTTTAGATAAATCAATAAAAAACCCTATTGTATAGCAATCACTATTAAATCCATTTATATATATATATATATATATATATATATATATATATATATATATATATATATATATATATATATATATATATATATATATATATATATATGTGTGTGTGTATATATTTGCTGTAAAGTAAGTTATTCTTGTAAAGGTATGTACTTATTATAAATTTATAATTAAGTTGAAATATTGCAATATTATATATAATAAAAGCAAACAACACGTATTTAGTATATCATATTCCACAATTTTTTTCTAAAGTTAAAAGTGACTTTTAAAAAAGTCTCTGTATACAATATTATATTAGTTACTATTGTTTTAATTATTAAAAAGTAACGTGTTGTTAACTTAACTGGTCACTATACGCTTACTCACTGTAAACTGAACTGCGATAAAAATATTTTTAAATGTATATTATAAACAAGCTAAGCTACTAATTTCAAAATAGACTATGGTTTTCAAGGCTTAAAATTAATTCCCGCATTTTTAATCGACAGTCAAACAAAAGTTAATGTTTGTACTTATGTGATAAACCTAAATAGAAAAATCGTTAGTAAAAAATTGTAACTTCGGCTGACTTTTTTTAACAGAGTGATTGACTACGGAAATAAATTGCCGGTCTAGTATGAGATTTTTTCTCCCGTGATTTTTTTACTCCCCAGTAAAAATATCGTATGAAGTTTTTACCGCGGAGTAAAAAAAGCATATGAGATTTTTACTCTCACTATTGTATTTCTACTCTCAAGTTGTTATTAGCGGAATTGCATATCAATAAGACATGCACTCCAGATTTGCAGATATTTTTAGTTACTTAAAATGCAAAAGATATCCAAAAGAAGTTTTAAATAAAGGCGATAAAGCCAATATTTTAGAAGACAAACTAAGCCATTTATAGTTGATAATAATGAGTTATATCATTTAAATAAAGCTGCAAAGGTATGTTATTATTTCAAAATGTTTTAATAGTTTAGTCATTTTACAACTAGACTCTAGTCACCAAATAAACACGAATATTTACAAATAATTTATTTAATAAATAATGAAAACTAATTTAGTTTTGATTCTCATTATATTGATGGTTTACAGCTTCTTTTTTTTTTTAGAGAAAAGTCATTTAGAGTAGAGATGAACAACAAGACATGATAATGTTTGTTCATGAAGGAAACGACGTCTCTGTTGAGTCTAACGCTTTATCTGGTCATACAGGTATTAATAACACAACCTATCACATTCAAAGTAGATTTTTCTGGTATAGAATGATAAAAGATATTACAACTTATGTTTCCAAATGTGACCAATGCCAAAAGTCAAAGAACAGAAAACTTTAGTCAAAACCATTGCTGCAAAATATTTCAATTCCTAAAGGCAATATGAAGCAGGTAGGAATCGATTTAACTCAGCTACCAGAAGTTAACGGTTGCAAATATCTTGTTGTATTAATCGACTACTTCAGTAAATGGGTTGAAGCAGAAGCACTTACCGATAAAACTGCTAAAGCTGTGGCTTTTTTACTCCCACTAAAATGTAGAAAACAAATTAAGTTAAAAAAAGTTATTATTAAAAGTTTAACTTTTATTAAATATATTAATTAAGCACTATATTAACATAACGGTAAAAATATCTAATGAGAGTTAAAATCTCATAAAGGGAGTAAAAATTTCATACGCATTTTTTACTCCGCGGCACAAATTTCATATCAAATTTTTATAGGGGAGTAAAAAAAAAATGGGAGTAAAAATCTCATATTACACCGGCACTAAACAGAAAAATTTTATTATTTAGTTTAAAAAAAGGTTTATTCTGTTGGTACTGTTATGGCTGAACAGATCGAGTATTTTTTATTTTTTTTATCGTCTTTTATTATTACTTTTTTTTTTAGCTTTTTTTTTTTTGTAAAATTGCTACCCAAACTGCAGAAGTTAATACAGTGTGCAATAGTTGTAGATTAACCAGATTAGTTACTTATGTAGATCAACCAGATTCGTTGCTAGTGTAGAATAACCAGATTAGTTGCTGATGTAGATAAATTGTTACATATAAATAAAACCATAATCGAGGATTAAACAAATTCATAAAAAAATTATAAACTTATTTTAAATTAGCCGTTTAAAATAAAACTGAAGAAAAAAAAAATCGTGGCTTAGTGATAAAAGAAAGGGACTTGATTTAGAGGTTTAAATCTTCATGATCTATTTGCAAACAACCCATTGGTCGCTTCATGATCTATTTGCAAACAACCCATTGGTCATCCATTTTTTGCACTGTTATCGATATTGTAATTAAATCTTTTCAGAGTTTCTATAATAATTTAAAAAAGGAGAAAAAGTATTTTCATTAATAAGCTGGATGCTGGTGCAGCTGGGTGCTGGTGCAGCTGGATGTATAGATGTTTAATGTAATATATTTGTAATAATAATGATAATATATTTGTTTAACAATAATAATAATAATAATAATAATAATAATAATAATAATAATAATAATAATAATAATAGCAATAATAATAATAGCAATAATAATAATAATAATAATAATAATAATAATAATAACAATGATAAATAATGATGATAAGAAATGATAAACGACCATAATAATAATTGCTAAGTAATAAAAAAATGAGTATAAATTCAAACAACTATCTGATCCAAGCTTTAAAAGTAACACCAGACTTTAAAAATTATCATAATAACAATAAAAGTAAATAAAAACAATAAAAATAATAATAATAAATGGCAATAATAACTGTGCATTTTTTAATATTAATAATTTGATTCAGACAACAAGTAAAATAAAAGGTCCATAGTTAAGATAAACATAATCAGTTTATAATTTTACTAATGGCGCAGACGTCAAGCTAATTAAGACTATGTCTGCACCCAGCAAACTTTCTATAGTGTAACTTTAGTGGACCTATTCAGGCATTTGTAGTGGTCCGCTGTAGTTTTGCTCATCAGTTATTTAGTGATCCAATAATGTATTTAATAGTCCGCCAAAAGTGGCTTGCCGATGACTAGCCGCTCGGAAAGTTATTGGCTCGCCATTTATGGTGGCTTTCACTAATGGTCCAATAAGTAACCAATAAGCAAAACTCCGAAGAATTGCTAAAAAATACTTATATAGGTCCACTACAAATCCACTAAAACAACATCTGCTAGACAGTTAGAGTAGGAATCGTTACAAAATATACATAGTATATTAATTGACCAAAGTTTTATAAAAACCAAATAATCATTAAACTTCGTAACCAAAGTTTAACGAATAGTCGGTATTCGACTTCGTTTAATTTCGATTGGCGAATATAAACGAAGTTTGCTGATGCTTAGATGCTCCAGTTTTTATACATATATAGATATTGGAGAAGAGTTTCTTCAAAATGCAAATTGTTATAATTAGGGTTAGGACTATTGTTATTGTTATTGTAAAAATTAAATACAATAACAATTACAATACAATAATATTGTATTGTAATACCAGAGATGCAATTAAACCATTATTTATGGTTATTGTATTGCTGTGAATAAAAACAGTTACAATAACTATTGTATTGTTTTTTTTTTCTTACAATACATTGAAGCTCTAAAACTATTGTATTGTTTTGCTGTGATGTAATACAATGACATTAACTATTGTATTGAATTGCTGTGATGTAAAACAATTACAACAACTATTGTATTGTATTGCAGGGATAAAAAACAATTACAATAAGTACATTGATGTATTATATTACTATTTTAAAGTCTAATAGCTATTGTATTTTATGGTATTTAGATTCTTTTTTCACGCATTTATTATTATTTGGGCACTAGATAATTTAGGGGTGCCCGTAATTTATATACAAATATATAATTTATCATATGCTTGTAATTAAATAATTATTTACTTTAAGAAGTAAAATTTTATATTTTTTTATAATTTTGTCTAAACTGATATTGACATGTTTCACCGGATGATGACGTCTAAACTAATTGATTAACTACATTAAGCCCTTTTTTTTCAATATATCTAACCGCTAATGTGTAATCAGTTACATCGTTATGGAATCAAAGAACCATTAACCTGAGTAATTACCGATTAGATTGTCAAAAATGAACTACTTTTGTTTTGTTAAAAAATTTTCTACATTTTCAGATTGTTCATCACCTATCAGACCGTACCAATAAATTTTGTGTGGATCATTTTTGAAAAATGAGCAATTTAAAATACCAAATAAATATTGGTTCTTGATTTATGTAGCAAAAATCAAGAACCTCTTTTATAAATTTGCAACTAGATGTCCAGTTACTTTATGAAACACATACAGCCATAAAGCCGAAGGGAAACAAATGACAAAGTTATATTAGAGTAAGTGTGAGTTGAGTAAGTTTTTAAACAATTGGATAGGTGCCTAATGTAAAAGAAAGAAAGGGAAACAAAAGACAAAGTTATATTAAAGTAAGTGTGAGTTAAGTAAGTTTCGAAACAATTGGATAGGTGCCTAATGTAAAAGAAAGAAAGGGAAACAAAAGACAAAGTTATATTAGAGTAAGTGTGAGTTGAGTAAGTTTCGAAACAATTGGATAGGTGCCTAATGTAAAAGCAAATAACTTAGTGGAAGAAATGGTAGTAGTTAATCATGTCTATCCCCAGCAGTAAAAGAAATACAGGCCCGATTAGTCTCACTTTTATAGAGCTATATAAAGTTTATAAAATAAAAAAGAAACAGAATCAATACCTATATATTAGTTGTACCCAATTTCAAGGTCACTTATCTCAGAGACTGGACTGTTAAGACGTTTATTAAATTTTGACTCTAAAATAATTTTTTTTATTACAATATTTATTGTATTATAAAGACGAAATACAATACAATATTTATTGTTATTGTTGTGGGTCATTACAATACATTTTTTTTTCAGATATTGATATTGTTTTATAAAGATGAATTGCAATACAATATTTATTGTTATTGCAAAGTATTGTTATTGTTTCTAAATTAAGTTAATACAATAACAATAGTTATTGTTACTGTTATTGTTTTTATTACAATTACAATATTACTAACCCTAGTTATAATTATCTATTGTTTTACAAAAGGTAAAAGTATATAAAACTTGTTTCTAATCCTAAAAATCACTTTAAAACTTTTATGAAAACTTTCAAAAAAAAAGGTTAAATGCTAGACTTCAGCAAATTGTTTAATAATAAATAATCAACATATATATAAAAGAAAGGAAAAAACACACATATACCCGTAGAACAAAGAAGACAGTATAAACTTGACTCAAAATACCGTTTTTGTATAAAAAGTATAAACTTTTAAAAATATTTTTTTTACTTATATTTTCTCAGCAACTATTTTATTTATAAGTATTTAAAAGATTGATTTTTTCAGGTCCTGGTCCAGGAAGATATGCTTTGCCATCCACATGTGGATACCACAATCATGATTTTACTAAAAAAATTAGCCCCGCTTACTCCTTCGGACACCGCTTAGGAGATCGTTAGTTGCTCAAAGTTATTTTTATTAACTTTTAGTAATATTATTTTACGTGAATTAAGTTATTTGATGTTTACTTTTAATTATAGTGTTTAAAACAGATAGCAGCCCTGGTCCTGGTTATATGGTTAACTCGGCAATTACTAGATTTGGAAAAGACGGAACTCCAAAATATTCTATTTTAGGCCGAGCTAAAGATCCAAGTGTTTAAAATATATTATTCTTTTTTTACTTCAAATTAGTTAATTACTTCAAAAGTTTTGTCAAGAAAAGTATTGTATTATTTATGTTAATTATTTACGCGTGGTTATAATTAATAGAAACATTCGAAACTCCATCACCAGGCGCGTACTCACCAGAAAATGTCCATCCCCCAGGTGAAAGACATGCTCCTGCATATTCCATGGCTGCAAGAACAAGATACAGAAAACGTAGTTTTAGTTAATTTTTCTTACAATATCTGCCAATAATATTTAAAACATGAGTTTACTTTCTTGTTTTAACTTTGTAGGCGACACAACACCGGCTCCAAACTCATATACGCTGCCAACACTTCTAGGTTCTAAGATTCCAGATAAAGCTGCATCGGCTGCATTTTCGATGATTGGTAGATCAAAAACTGGTGGTTTTGATGAAGATTTATCTAAAACACCGGGTCCTGGACACTATAATACCTTAGATCCCAGTAAAATAAAAAAAAAAGCTCCTGCTTATTCAATGTTAGGAAGAAGTTACATGCCTGGGGGTAAAGTATTTTTAATTTTTGTTTTAGTTTTAATTTATTTTTTATTATTTGACAAATACTTAAGTAAAAAAATTAAAATTTTCTTTCTTAGATTCAACTCAAAAACCTGGTCCTGGTGCACATTGCCCTGAAAAAGTTACTGCAAATAAACGCAAAGCTCCTTCTTTTTCACTTGGAATACGTCATTCAGAATATATTACTCCACTTATCATTGATGTTAGCAATTAATCGCCTCAGATTAAAAGTTTTTTATTAAAAAATATATATATTTTTTAAAAATCAAACAGTTTTTTGTAATAGTTTCCTGTTTATCTCTTCATCCTAATAAGAGTACATAAATTTTAAGGATTATACATTCTAATTTGACCAAGTTAGTTCTTAAAAGAAAAGAGAGTTCTTAAAAGAAAAGAGAAAGTTCAAATTAACTTTTTAACTTTTCTTTTTAACAGAGACGCTTTCCCTCTTGAAAGAGTTTTAATTTACACTACTTTAATAAATATTAAAACATCTTTCCCTCTTGTCGTTCTGTTTAATAATCTTAACTAGCAATAAGCAACCTGAAATACGGGTTATTGGTAAATAAACCATTAAAACAATTAACTTTGATATATTAATAAATTTTAATTTTTTTTAAACAGTTTCACTTCCGGAGTGTTGTGGATTGTTGGAAATCCAACGAGACAGCCTTGTTGGAATTCCAACAAGGCTGCAAGCAACCACTATTGAAGTTGGAAGTTACCGGAAGAGAACAGATGAAGTTTATAAAGCAAGATAATAATTAACAGACCACTTTAAAAATTGCAATTTTTATGTATCAGGAAAACTAGATGAAGAGAGTGAATTCCAAAGAACTGATGTTTGAGGAATTAAACTTGACAAACATGAATTTTTGGAGCTCTTATGAACAGTCACAGTAAATTGATGAGACTTAATTAAACAACGAGAAACAAAAAAATGAATTTATTAGATGGCTCTTTTAACAGCGTCCATTATAGTATTTATAGAAAAAAGAAGCAACATTACGATTATGTGATAATGGTTGAAGGTTGGCTGCATTAGCAGATACAACTATGTTTGCAATGCATTTTTGCACTTTGTCTTAGAAAAAGCGTCATTCGAAGATCCGCTCCAGATATGGCAACTGTATTTCATACAATGACAGATTTGAGATTTATAGAGATAAAGAATACTCCGGGAAATTAAAGCTTTACTCCGGGAAATTAAAGCTCTTAATGTCTATGAGTTAAACGTGTTCCAAAACTTGTTATTCATGTTTAAATATCAAAACGACATGCTTCCAAAATCCTTTAATAACCGATTTGTAAAAATTAATCATAAATACCTAACAAGGTGCTCTACCTATAATTTTAATTTGCCTAAATCAACTCTTAAAACATCTGACTACTCAATTTCATATAGAGGCCCTCGCCTGTGGAACATAGTTCTTAATGAAAATATGAAAAGTATAACTTATAAATTGTTTTAAAAATATAGTTAAACAGTATTTACTTGAATTAACAGACGCAAACATATTTTTGCATTTTTAAGTAAAAAAAAAAAAAAAAAAATCTTGTAATATTTCTTAATATATCTGATTATTTATCTTTTGCAATTTATGGTATTCTTGTTGTAATAATGTGTTAACTTGTTTTTTTATATAACGAGTATTTGTAAATTTATATAATGAGAAATTTGTTAAAAGTACTTTACGTTTACTATAGGGGCTTGATGACAAGACTTCTGTCTTCTACTTGCTCCTGTCGTTTTTAATTTTTTTATTTAAATTTTATTGATGAAAATTGTAAAACAAGAACGTTGTAAAATGTTTATAAAAGACGATTTATATATATATATATAAAAAAAGAAAAAAAGAATAGAATTCGGAGTAAGAAAGTGGCAAGCACAATAAAGAGATTCAACCTTAGCAGATGCTAATTTTTCAAGGTAAAAGATTACTACATCTGTCCAACAACACCTGTGGAGTAATCCAAGATCATCAGTACACTTTTGTCCAAGATCATCTTTATTTTTCTTTTACTCTAGTAACATCTGCAATATTGCTAAATCTTTTGAAAAATCTCAATATACGTTAGGTATTTTCATAGATTTATCAAAAGCCTTTGATACCATTGATCACAAAATCCTATTTTAAAAAATAGAGTATTATGGAATTAGAGGAAATACTTTAATGATACTTAAAAGTTATTTAAGCAACCGTAAACAGTTTTTTTTTACAGTAATACAATTGCCTCTTTCAATTTATTAGATATAACATGTGGGATCTCTCAAGATTCTATACTAAGACCTATTCTCTTTTTAATTTACATTTATGATCTCCCTAAAGCCACAAATTTAATGACGGTCATACTTGCCGATGATACTAATCTCTTTTTATTTTATAACAACATAACAACATTATTCCAAAATATAAACAAAAGTTTCTGACTGGTTTAAAATGAATAAGCTGTCACTAAATGTTGAGAAAACTAAATGGATACTTTTTCATCAAACTTCAAAAAAAAGCTAATGCCTCCTGTCATGCCCTTACTTTTATTGACAAAATTCAAATAAAAAGAAAACTTACTACTAACTTTTAAGAAATCAGTATTGATGAAAATCTTAGTTCATTTTAGCTTTAACAAAAAAAGCTGGTAGGTAAAAAAGCGCTTTCTTTGCGTTAAAGACATGGAGAAAAAAAAGGAGTGGATATTGCAAAACTATTTTGTGATGTTTTAATAAAAGCTAAGTCTTTGATAAAGTTTTTTAAATTCTTTGCAACTGTTTTACTTCTGACCTTTTGTTATAAAGTTCTTCAAGTAGCAGATGAAGTAAGCCATTTGTTCCAGTCAACTTCACTAACAATAGATGACGAAGTTATTCTAATTCAACAGCTAATTAGCAGTCTTGCCCGTATCCGCTCATCATGAAATAATATTATGACTGAAGCGAAAGCTGTTGCAGGTCCTCTAGGTTTTGAAACGGAGTTTTTGACAAAACGAAAGAAGAAAGCAAAACGGTATCACGATGAACTTGCAAATGCAGCTTTCTGCTATGAGAGCCCCAAGCATCAATTTGAGGTAAACATTCTCAACGTTGCTCTTGATCATTTTATTTATCAAGTTCAGTCAAGATTTGACTTAGTAAAGAGTGCTTCCTCAAGATTCTCATTCATCTGGTTGAAAGACTAAGAACCAGATTGTCAAGAGATAAAAGCTCAGAATTAGCACAGTTCAATGCTAATGATGTCAATGAAGACAACTTCATGCAAGAAATTTTGCATCTAAATTGTTTGAAGGAGTCTTCGTTTTTTATTTCTGGAAACTCATTGAGCCTTCTCAACCAAATACATTCAAAGAGTCTGCAGCCTATTTTTCCATATGTATGCAATTCGAATTTTCAATACAATGTCAGTATCTGATGCAGAGGGTGAGCGATCCTTCAGTAAACTTAAATTGATAAAGAATTATTGTAGAGCCACTATGTGACAAGAACACCTTTCTGATTTCATGATGCTTTCAGTGGATAATGAGTTAGCTAAGAGTGTGTCATATGATAATATAATAACAAACTTTGCCGGTAAAAAAGCAAGAAAAGAGTGTTTATATAAGCCGTTTTTCTTATTTGAATTTCTAAAAAATGTCTAATAATGCATTTATGTTGTATTTGTGCTTGCTAATGCTTGTGTTAGTGCTTGTGTTAATGCTTAGTTGTATTTTTTTAAAGACGCAATGTTTGAAAATATTGCCGTAAAATGATTTTAACAGAAATAAACCACAATTAAGAAAATTCATTTTAAAACAATGTGCACTCATATATATGCAAGATTGCGTTTGATAAAGTTTTTTTTTTTAAATAATGTATCTTTAAAGGTGCGTCTACTCAACGCTATGCCCCGGGCGCCATAAAAGCTCTCGACAGCCCTGGGTTTATTTGATGTCACCATGGGAGCCTTTGATGGCGCAGAAGTTTGTAAGTTAGTTGGAATATTTATCTTGTTTTATTATCGCAGTCTTACAATAAAGATGAATTCGGATTGTATAAAGATGACGGTCTAGCAGTATTTAAGAACCGGAGTGGCCAACAGATGGTAAAAATTAAAAAGCATTTTGTAAAAATTTTTAAATATAATGATCTTCTTATACCCATCAGCTGTAATTTTAAAATTGTTAATTATCTGAACTTAATTTTAAAACTTAATGACAGTTCTTTCAAACCTTACTGCAAGTCTGGTAATTTCTTCAGTTGTATAAATGTTGACTCTAACCACCCTCCTAATATTCTAAAAGGCCTTTCTCAAACTGTCGAACTAAAATTGTTAACCAATTTTTTTTACGAAAATATTTTTAAACAATCCATTCCTTCTTATAAAGATGCATTATTAAAATCAGATTTTATCTGCAAATTCGCTTAGCATTCAAATAAAAACCAATTCCATTCAAAAATCACAAGCGAAACATAATCTGGTACAACCCACCTTTCAGTACCAATGTTGCAACAGAAATAGGCAACTGTTTTTTGAACATGATAGACCTGCACTTTCCGGTTGGTCACAAACTTTGTAAGATATTTAATCGAAACACCATTAAAATAAGCTACTTATGTATTCCAAACATCAAGTCCATCATTAATTCGCACAATCACAGGATAATATATAGCCAAGGTAAAGATGAGGGAAAAACATGCAACTGTGTCAACAAATCATCTGCTCTATGAACAATCAGTGCTTGACTAAGAACACCGTTTATCAAGCCGTCGTCAAATAAACCTGACTACAAAGAAAAAGTTAATTTTGGCTTATGTGAAGCTCCATTCAAATCTCGGTATGCTAATCACCTAAAATCTTTTAACATTAATAAATATAAAAATGATACCGAGTTATCTATAGAAATTTGGGACTTAAAAGACAAATTGTTTACACCCTTAATTAATTGTAAAATTGTAAAACGTTGCAATCTTTTTAAGGCCTTATAAAATTTGCAATCTTGGCTTATTTGAAAAATTCCTTATTTTAACATATAAAAGTGATAAATTGTTAAATAAACAAAATGAGTTGATTTCAAAATGCACAAGAATAAATTCCTCTTATTTTTTTTTGACACAGGTAATTAGTTAATATTTTGTTTTTTCTTTATTTGCTATCAAGTATGTCTTAGCGACGTAAAGATCCCATTACACAGTATTTTTTAATTTTTAGCGGTTTTTTTTTTTTTTTTGATTGTATTCAATGGCTGATGATTGCCGTATAAGCATGAAACTTAAAGAACCAGGCCCGTAGCAACGGGGGGATGGGGGGGGGAAGTGGTTGCAGCAGGGGTATTCCCCCCCCCTCCTCCAATAATTTTTTAAATAAATAATTTTGAAGAAACTGACTAAAGAAATGATTAAAAAAAAAGGTCCTTAAAACTATTTCGGGGTAGTACTGCCCCCCCTCCCTATTATAATTTTTGTTTCTACGGGCCTGAAGTACCATAAAAAAAGTTGTTTTTTCTTTGTTAATATATATATATATATATATATATATATATATATATATATATATATATATATATATATATATATATATATATATATATATATATATATATATATATATATATATATACATATATATATATATATAAAATCATAATGGTAATAATAATAATAATAATAATAATTAAAATAACGATAATGATAAAATATTAGGATTATATAAAAAATAAGGAATAATAATATAGAGGAATGAAGCATAATTATTCTACAATACCTCACATAGGCACAGGTGGTTTTTTACCACGAGAAGACATCTAACCCTGCCCTACCCTAAAATAAAAAGAATTTTGATAATCATATTTGTTTCATTATAATTATTATATATAAATTTTAATATACAAAATATTTAAACTAATATATTAACATTTATGCAAATGTTTAGTTAGTTTAGTTAGTTAGTTATATTAATATTAAATAATTAATATTCTAAAAATTGAAAATTAAAAAGACCTCTTTAAAACATTCTTTAGATTGAAGACTGTGAAACAGAAATAAAATTTGATTTTAAATTTGTTGTGCACAAAATAAAATAGTCCAGTATAGCGCTACGTTTGAAATTTATTGCTAATTGAAATGGAGTCATAAATCGAAAGGATAAAAAAATTTCTGCAGAAGCTCGTACTAATAAATGCACCAGAATCAAATTGTCTTTATATACCGCAATATGGAGTGGTGTTATTCCATTTAAAATGTTTATAAAGTTTACATTTTTGTAATATGTAGTTAAAAATCGGACAATTTCTTCGCTCTCACCCATTACTGCAGCATGAAGAGGCGACCAGTGATCATTTAAGCTAAAGTCAAGAGGGAATTCATTTTGTATCAAAACTTTAAAGCAACTAAAACAACCTTTATAGCAGGCTTCAAGAATAATAAGTTTTTTATCCATTAGACTGATATAAACACTTAGTGCTTTTATCATTTGATCAAAATTAGCGCACTGATCTTCATAAAGACAATTAAGTAGTTCCAATTTTGTATTTTCTAAGTATTTACTCCGAAGCAAGTTCAACCTGAGACTTTCTTTTGACTGATAATTTTTTGTATTGCTCTCATCTGTTTCGATTATTGAAAAACGAGAAATTTTTCGGTTCCCCAGCAGATAAGACCAAGTCCGAAACTTTTGTCTTTTTTGTTGCTCTTTGTTGTGGTTTGATAACAACGGAAAATTTTGGTTATCTGAGTTTTTCCTATAAGTTGGCATTTTAGAATTTGTTTTTATAAAATATTGAATTCATGAACATCTTATGTATTTATACAAGATATTTAAAAGGCGTTAAGGTTTTAATTATCAAGACGTGACGTCACCTGTTAATATTTTAATGAATAAGCCTTTCAATTATATTATTGAAGAAACATGAATCATTTGAATAGATTACGTAAGCACAAGATTAAGTAAATATTCAAATTATTTTGTGTTGCAGCTTGTTTTTTTTTTTTTTGCTTGATAATAAAAATAAATAAATAAATAGAAAGAACAATTACAACGTGTTCGAATTGGGATTATTGCGTTGGTGGTAATGTTTAGATTACTAATACTTTAAAGAAACAAAAAAACTTTAAACATAAAGCCAAATTTTTTTATCGTGAGTAGTTGTTGCATTAATTGTCGTTTGTATTAAAATTGCGTAACTGGAGACCTCGGTGCGAAAAACGGTGTAACTCCATAATAACAAATTTTTCAGGAGAATGAAAAAAACAGATTAACTCTGAGTGTTGGGAAAAAGTATCATTCAGCCAAATCCTTAATTAAATGGCATAAGGAGTGCTATAATCTAAAATATTTTTCCATTAGTTGTTAGAGAATCTCATAATTAGTAATATCCGTTCAAATCTAAAAATCAACCTACATTGTTTTTGCCCCGAGGTCTTCAATTATTGTTAACTATTTTCTAATAACTTATTATAAATGTAAAATTGTTAACTATTTTCTAATAACTTATTATAAATGTTTACGCATTTAAATATAAACATATTTAAATGCGTAAACATTTTTTAAAAAGACAAACTTTCAAAACAAAACTTAAAACAAAGCTTTTCAAGCAATTAAATACGTTTTTGCTGACATTTTCATTCACGATAGAGTTTTCTAAAGACAACATTATCTCCCTAATCTGTTTCTTCTGACCTTTGACACATCTAGCAAATCTCAACGATAATCAAAAAAATTTCTAAAACGTATTTTAATCGAATTTAATGATGAACTTAACAGAGATTAGTGATGTGTAAAAAGTTAGATGTAAAATAATTTTTTTTTTTAAATATATTTTAGTGCACTATTGTTTTTCAGACTTCCTTAGCAACCACTATAGTAAAGAATTTGTTTATTGGTTTTTTTACTTTATAGCCAGGTTATTGGAGGAAACTTTAGTCTTAAAAACATCCTGTTTACTTAACATATTACCAAATTTAACATTTAACATTTTTGCTCAAAAAAAAAAGTTTTACATCTTCATGTTTACTAGTAACCAAGCCCATGCTAGTGACATCATATTTTTTGATTGTATTTGCATGCTCGCTTAAAAAACTATTTTCATTACAAGTTTGTTTGCATCTTTTACATAAGAAATGACTTGTTGCACGATTAGAAAACGTGCATTAAAATATATATAAGTATATAAAAGTATATATAAGTATATATAAGTATATATAAGTATATATAAGTATATATAAGTATATATAAGTATATATAAGTATATATAAGTATATATAAGTATATATAAGTATATATAAGTTCCAAGCCAGTTAGTACACATTAGTTAGTACTCATTAGTTAGTATACATTAGTGAGTACACATTATTTAGTACACGTAAGTACACGTGTAACGAAAAAAAGAAGAAACTACAACTTAATCACAAGCTTTTCAACTGCAAAAGATAATGAGTATATGACAAAAAAGATAATTTTTGATAATGAATGTATGAAAAAGACTTTCTCAGCTAGTATCAACAGAAAATTTTTTTTTCTGCTGGTACCTTATACCAACTTAAGTTGGTTTAAGTTTTGAATAAGGTTTATAGGCAAAAAAAAAAAGAAAAGAAGGAACATCATATTCTGCTAGGGTTTTATATTTTTGCTCCTGACGCATTATTTTTGGAATATAATTTTTTATAAATTACATATAAATTTTTTTAAAAATAATCAAATAGGAGAAATTAAAAATAATGATAGCTTATGCCTTTTTTTTTTTTTTTTTTTTTTTTTGCAAGAAGCGTCAACCAAATTAAACCAAACAAGGTACAGGTATACGTACCGCAAAAACAACCGTACCGCAAAAACCACAATGTTGGCTTAAGTGACCTAGCATGTAAAAAAAAATTCAGGATTCAAAAAACTTGATATATTATAATAGCTAATATGTCAGCATATAAATTAAAGCAGTTTTAGTGGTTTTTTTATTTGTTAAATATGTTGGTATCTGCACTAGAGTAGAAATTTCAATTATAAAAACGTGTAGTTTTTTTTGTTTTGTAGGAGCCTAGAAGCCGTATCAGAGAATAAGTTAGCAAAATATAGTTTTTCTATTACCTATGGATTATAACTAGATACTGAAAAAAGTTTTTTTTTCTCAAGTATTTATAAATCTTTATAACACCCTCATAAAGAAAGGAAATATTATTGTTGTTTTTGGGGTACATTTTATAGAATTCATTTTACAGACGATATTTTGAAATAAAAAACAACAACAATAAATTACCATTGTATTAGATTTTTTTTTAAGATAATAATATACATTTATCTTAAAAACAATATTTGAACGCAGCAGTAATAACACATCTAAAATGGCTGCAAACTTTATAACATTATTATAACAATAGGTTACTGCAACAATGTTAAGATAACATAGATAAATAAAATGTTAAGATAACATAGATAAATAAAATACTTTAACTGACTACTTTAATTTAAAAAAAGATTATTGATTGTCTTTGCATTCGTTATAATGGTCGTATATCAGTCTTTTAGATGCGGAGAAGTGCTGGTTTGCTGGTAAAAGCATAACCGGTTTAACACCATCAACTCTGCAACTCACTTTGCTGCAAATTGAACAGAGAACATCAAGACAATTAGGACATTGCTTTAGGCCAAAAGCTTGACATTTCCTTTGTTTGTAAAAATATTCAACTTTACATTTAATAAACTTTTCTTTAGCTTCTTTTTTCTTTTTTTTTGGCTTCCTCCTTTGCTGTTATCTTTCGTCATTTCTCTTCTTTTATATCTTTCACTTTTGCTGCAACATCTTTTGCACGCATCGAACCATAGACCTTAGTAACACTAGTAGATATTTTTTCAAGGTTTGGTTAAATTTTCTTAATAGTTAGCAGATCAGGAATATTTTCTAATTGGAGGCTTTGCTCAGCCATTTCTCTAATCAAGATTTGAGACTGGTCAAACTTATCTTTCCAGTAACTTGCCGAACCTCTCCTCATACCAACTGGTGACGAAATGGTTGATTCAGGTTTTTTAAAAGAAGTTGACGCTGGTTCTTCTTTATAAATGAATGCAGCAGCTCGCTCAAATTTATCTTGTTGCATAAAGTTAACATTTAATTCAAAAGGTGTTATTCCAACTCTTTTTGCACTAGAAACAAGAACCGATTTCGATGTCCATTTCTCCCATATATTGCCTAAGATGGTCATAAATCCCTCTCGATTAATTGATTGCATTGGGTTGAAAAGATAATTCTTGGCAATTCTGTACTCATGATGAAGATTTTTATTAACCTTGTCAAGCAACTAAGTTACACCAGTAGTGTCAGGAGGAGAAATAAATAACCAAATTTGTTTTGAAAGGAGGTATATTAAACCGTCATAACTGAATCGTGAACTATGTCCATCAGATAATAAAACAACAGGTTGTTCTATTGCCTTCTCGGTTAGGTAATTATCAAACTCTTGGCAAGTCGCCTTAAAAGTGTCATTATCTGAAATCCCATTTTCAGATGTTGTAACAAGGAGGTGACTGATTTTTTCTACAGCTACTTGTAGTGTCATCTGGCTTGTTATTCCAACCGAGGAAAAAATGACTTGACATATACAAACATCACCTGAAAAAGACACAAAAGGGTGGATTGAAACACATTCCCTGTTTTCTTTATGCATTTTTAAGCGTTGTTCACCTTTCCCTGCATATACCAAGCCTGTTGAAGTACCATCAACACCAGAGTTCACAAATTGCGGTATCTCATCATCATTAAATATTCTTGTTGTGTCAATGTCACCCTTCCATACACCCTCGTCTACTTTTTCAGCATTTTTTATAATACCGGCTGCCTGAAGTTCCATTGCAAGATCATTCAAATGATTACAAGCCATTTCTTGGGTACAGTTAAGTGCTCTGTTTATTGATACCTGACCCTGGCGTTTAATTGTTAGGCTTGAATGTTTTGCATGGAATTGTTTCCAAAATGAACGACTAAGTCTGAAATAATAAGTGTAAAAATACTACAATACTCATAGTAAAAATACTCTTTAAGTGTAAAAATACTACAATAGCGACGTTCCTCGCCTAGGAAAAACTAAAGCTCTTTAGATATCTAACTAAATTAAATCATTATTCTGTAAAAAATTTATACTTACCATTTTTTATTATTCGGTCTAATCTTCTATTAATCGTCTCTCTATCTTTTACTAGTGGAAACAAACCAGTCTTCAGGGCCTTACAACCTCGCACGCTGTGGTCGATACAAAATTGTACTGCCTTTTCTAATTGTAAATTCTTCGCATCTGTGAACTTCCTCCCAATTGATGCCTCAGGCCTACTTTTTCCACGAAGAGGTTGTAATTTTTCCTGTCTGAACTGAAATTTTTGCTTCATTTTCTATGTTAATTTTTTTCTAACTCTATTTGATTAAAAAATTATTGTTAAACATTTTAGAGTACACTAGTTGCTTACAGAACATATCTAAATACTAAAAAAACAACTTTCAAGTAAAAATTTAGATTTTGCTCTAGGTTCAAACACAAAGTAAGTTTTAATAAATTCTTGCAACTATTATGTTCTAAAAATGATATTGATTTTTAATACGTAAAAAACATGATGCAAACTTTGTTTAAAACACTGCAATGACATCTTTAGAATCAAGAGGTTACATAAAATCAATATAGTAAAAAGCGAGAACACATGTATAGCCTATAAAATGTTATTTTTAAAACATCAATGTTGTTTTTGGGGTACCTATCTTGTGGTTTTTGTGGTGCATCGGGTATTTTCTCCAAGGTTAAGTTAGCAGCAACTGGTTTTATTTAAAACAGGTCAAATAAAATTAGGACA